TCGTGCAAAATTTGGTGTCTCTATCTCTTATAGTCTCTGAGATCCAGGTGTTCATACGGACGGACAGACGGACAGACGGACAGACGGACAGACAGACAGACAGGGCTAGATCGACTCGTCTCGTCATGCTGATCAAGAATATATATACTTTGTGGGGTCTGCCACGCCTCCTTCTGCCTGTTACATTTTTCAGCTCCCGCAAACCTAATATACTCTTGTACATTTCATGTACAGAGTATAAAAATATGATCGATTTTACCTCTCTCGGTATTCGAACTCACGTAAAGGGTGTATAATTGCACATTTACATAGCAATTGCGTCTGTGTGAGTGTATGTATGCCTATGCGCATCAATTCGTGTCTGTGTAAGCATTTTCGCAGTCAACCAAACAGCAACATCAACAACAGCCGCGGGCAGCGCTTGAGCAGCGCTGCATCAGCAAATATATTTATGGCTATAACTTCTTGGTAAATCGGTCTATCATAATGAAATTTGTCATACGGACACATAATAACTAACTGGGGGTATTTCCAAAATTTTAGTTCGAAATTCCAAGAATTACGGGAGTTACGATTTGCGGGGTAGAGGGGGGAGGGAGGGGAATTCCAAAATATACATTTTCTGCGTATTCACATAAGGCATCTGGGACTAAAATTTGGTGTTCCTAGGTCTTATAGTCTCCGAGATATAGGCGATTATACGAATGGAAAATCGGGAAAACCCCCATAGGGGGGAAGTGGGGGGGAAAATCAAAAAAATAAAACAAACTCGTATAGAATACACACATAACGCATCTTCGTGCAAAATTTGGTGTCTCTATCTCTTATAGTCTCTGAGATCCAGGTGTTCATACGGACGGACAGACGGACAGACGGACAGACAGACAGACAGGGCTAGATCGACTCGTCTCGTCATGCTGATCAAGAATATATATACTTTGTGGGGTCTGCCACGCCTCCTTCTGCCTGTTACATTTTTCAGCTCCCGCAAACCTAATATACTCTTGTACATTTCATGTACAGAGTATAAAAATAACGAAATTGTAATGATAACACACGTAGAGTAGCTTCTCTACTCGGGTGTCCCGACTGTACATACATATGTATGTTTAGAATAATTATAGAAATTTAAAAAATTCACAATTAAAAGCCAATTTGATCGATTTTACCTCCCTCGGTATTCGAACTCACGGAAAGGGTATATACAGAATTGCACATTTGAGAGTATGCAAGTCTGTGGGTGTCTATGCGTGTCTGTCTTAGCATGTTTGCAGTACAATGTTGAACCAAAGCAGCAACAACAGCTGCGGGCAGCAATTGTATTTATGGCCATAACTTCTTGTTACATCGGCGCACCATTATGAAACTTGGCTTACATACACATAATTCCAAATGGGGGGTATTTGCCAAATTTGAGTTAGAAATTACTGGAGATATTGGACGGAAATTCCAAAATACACGTATATGCGTATTCATATAAGGTATCAAATTTTGTGTCCCCAGGTCTTATAGTCTCCGAGATATAGATGACTATACGAACGGCGTTTCCAAAAATCCCGAAGTTGGGATAAGGCATCTTTGAGCAAAATCGGATTTCTCTATCTCTTATAGTCTGCGAGATCTAGGTGATCATACGGACATACAGACAGACATAGATCGACTCGTCACGCTGATCAAGAATATATAATCGCTGCCCAAGGGCGTAGGCAGCCCAAAAAATTAAAATTGTGATTTAATAATGCACGATGCATTTAAAAAATAACTAATGCATATGATCAATGAAAAAACTTCAACAAATCCAACTCAGATCCATTTTAAGGCGAAATATTGCGTCTTAATAATGAACGTGTGGTCGACTTTTTTTGACGCTCGCGCACACCTAATATACTCTTATACATTTCATATACAGAGTATACAAAATCTAGGTGTTTCTACGAACGGTGTTACAGAAAATCTCTAATAATGTGCAAAATTATGTATATGAGGAACGTCCAGAAGTACGACTGCAACAGTGTGCAACGTTGGAGAAATGTAGAAAATCTTAATAAGAGACTTGTTTTATCTACACTAACTTATCTTACAATTCATGTACTATACACAATCAGAAGAATAAATATACAACGAACCTTTGCCGGTCCATTGCAGAATGTTTAAATACATATAGGCATGTAAATTGTACCTAAGCTTTGATGTCAAGTGCTTTAAAACCCTCTTTTAAGGACTAAGTTCAACAGCTAATACCTAGCACACTACTTGAATATACAAATAAGAAAAGATTCATGTTACAGCCGTCCTGCGAAAAATCGCAGCAGCAATTTAGATAAGATAATAAATGTTAGTATACTTATAAGGCTTGATTGTGATGAATAAAATGTAGTTAAATTTTTGATTCAATCCAGCAAATGAAGTGCCGTTTCTTTTAAGTTCCCTTCCCGAAAGGAAACTGCACATTTTGATTTGCATGTAACATATTGGGTTTTCAATGTTTTATCAATTTTTTTGATTTATGAATGATTATATTAATACTCAATAGTTATGGACTATGTTTAAACAAATATTTTGCTTTTTATAACGCACTTTTCCTTGAATTGTCTTTATTACGTTCTGCACACATGCCTTTGTAACAGCGTCCAATGTCTTTCTTTTGGGCGGAGTTGTGGAGCGTTTGCTTTCCCTACATATGTACTATCAGCTTCCCTTAAAGCAATAGTGGATCTGGCATTACTATATTCATACAAAATGCCTTTAACTACCTACCTGTAGTCGAAGCGTAGGAGTGCATTGGTTTCGTCAATACATATATTAAACAAACAGATAGACGCGTAGCGGACCCCTTCAGTATGGAAACTTTCTATAAATTGTTCTAACCAGATTTTTTATTTGAATCTCTAAAATTGATTAAAAGCGATTGACTAAAACATTATAATACGTTCCTTAATATGGAACTGTTTCGTGTGAATTGTAAAGATTGTGGGCGTCCTTACAGCTTACCTGAATATATTTAGACAATTCCTTTCAATCATCATTGCTTAATAACAAATTGCTTAATTTTTTTAAATAATCCGAATTAATTTCATCCGAATCCAGTATATTCAGGAGATCGAATGACTTGCTTTTCCGATTCTCGTACTATATTATAATCAGTTGATAGATATATCCCTGGGATTTCTGAACAACCATGGTGTGGGAGGCGAATGCAGCCTCTCAGTGTTTTGCACGCAACCTAGCCACTTGACATTTCTTCCGTCTTTTTATGCACCTTCGGGTTTGGCTGCCATTATTCCAGACCCTTTTATAGAGCGCCTTTACAACCAACGCACGCATCGACCTAAACCATGATAGGACGATGCCTTTGAGTTGGACGAAGTGCAAGTCCTTTAATGCCAATTCGTTTGCCATCTGGTCAAAAATCAGACTGTTTCCGTTTTTGCTTATTTCATTTCTGCGCACTTCCGGATCAATTATCCTGACAAACAAAACATTTAATCTTGTGCCGGTCGAATAAAAACTATTAAATACTTACTGTATGCACAGATATGTTGTAGTACCGATAGACGGTGTACAGAAAAGCCTTTGTCCACATTCATTCCGCAATTATTTTACTTAATCATTCAGATTTATTGCATATTACACACATGTGTAAATAACCGCTCCCTTTATTCTTCGAGATCCTGCATGCATGAAAACGCCGACGCCTTATCGATAGCATTTCGCCAGTCACAATTTATGTCATGTGGCAACCTTGCAGAGTCTTCGATAGCTATATTTTTTGTACATATCGATGCACTTGCCGTCCCTAAGCAAATGTCGAAAATTCTTCGCTTCGGCTACGGCAACGGCAAGCATAAAATAATAGATTAACGTCCGCAACGCCAACCACACGCATCGAAAATACGCAAAGAATGCGCTAAAGTGCACAAAGTTCAAATGCAACATGAATTGAAGTGAGTGCATTTGCCGGTAAAGCGAAAAAATGCAAAAAACGGCAGCAGCCTGTACAAAACGGCATACACACACATACACCATCCCGCCGCAGCCCTCTTCTAAAAAGGCAGCGCCAGCGGAGCGCTAGAATAGCCTACGCTCTCAAATAATAATCCATTTAATTAAGTCTACTGCATTTACCTTTTATAAAATCAAAACAATTTGCATTATGTTCCGATAATATTATAAATCTGTACTAGTATGATTAGAAAACTGTGCGTGTTGCATTTTGCTGCTTTCGTATAAAAATTCGTATGAAACGACGTTCGTGCGTGATACCTTCGTTGTCTTCGCCGCGCCACCTCCGAATAAGTGTTGTAAAAAAACAACGTTGCTGGCTAGTGTTGTGTCGGCTCGTTCAAAAGTTCAATTGAACTACTAACTAGGTCAGTGACTCATTCTGTGCACCTGTTCATTTCTACCGTTGTTTATTATATTCACGACAATATTTAGATTCCTTAATTATATATGTTTCTAAAGTTAAAATGCTATTGAATTTATTGAATCCAATGAATTTTTATTTTACCAATGAAAGAAATTTTAAAAATATATCTTCTATTTGTCATAATAAATATAATGAACAAAACCGACAATAGAACAAAGACTTCTTAGCTGACGAGTCTTGGATGAACGACTGACCTGATTTATTAAATTGAACTGGATGCCCAACACTGTTACCAGCATGTGTCATAGGATTTTATCGGTCTCTACACCGTTGGCGTTGCCACTTCGGGACAGCTTACTATACAAAAATACATTTATATTTTTAATGTGTTGATCTACTTTCAAAACAAAGAAGCAGTTACATTTTGGAATTAATTATGTGCTAGTTCCACTCTGGTTTTTTATAGTTAGTTGGTTTTAAACAACTTTGTCGTCGCGCGCAACTCGAGCCCAACGTCTGGCAGCACCGCGTTACTCATCTCTCGCTTGCGTTTTGCACACGCATTCGTGAAAATGGCGGCGCCGTCGGTCTGTCGCTGCTGCCAAATTTTTTGTACATCAAAATAATCAAAATAAAACAAAATTCTTCTAGTGCACAACAAACCAGTGCCCTGCATTTTATACACGAAATAGTGCGTCGTTGTATCTTTGCTGTTGTTGCTACTGTTGGTGCTGCTGCAGTTCGATGCGTGTGCATATGTGCTGTACAAGTTACTTATAATATTGCCTGTCTGCTGCAATTTGGCTTCCACATCCCCCGCGCGCGTTAATGTGTGTTTGTTTCTGTGTGTATTGCTGGTGTCAGGAGAGTTAAATGTAAATTCAGTAACTTATCTTAAAACATTACACCTTGCAGCTGCAGCAGCTTTATAAAAAAAACCTTCAGAAATTAAATCAACACGCGACGCAGAGCTGCCTTCGCCAGCGCAGCAGCAACGCCGTCGCCAACGCCGTGTGAATAAGCGTGATATCAGTCCCGCAGCAGCAGCAGCAGCAGAATCAACGACAAATAGTTATTGTTGCTTGTTGTTGCCAGCGGAGCGCCGTCGCCCGCGACCGTGCAAAGGCTTCGGCCAAGGTGATTTACATACATATATTATGATCCATTGTTGCCGCCGACTCAATGGCTGTTGTTGTTGCTGCGAATGGAGCTTGTAAGGTTGCCAGACTTTGAGACACCGGTTGCGCGGCTCAAGTGTGCGAGTTTCGTGTGTATGTGTGTGTGTGCGGCTTTCACCTGCGTCAACGCCACAAGCCAAAAAAAAAGGAGTAAAATCAGCTGGACACAACAACAGCAGAGCCTGAAACGGCGCAATGTTACAGGATCAACAACAGCAACGGCACCAACAAACAACATTAATATTTACCCCTTTCATTCCTCGCTCCCCGCGACTTTTTTGTTGATAAGTACTAAAGTGTTCTATCGATTGCCTTGCAGGACACGATTTGGAGCAACAGCATGCAACAGTCCAAGGCGGCATTGTGTTCAGTGATTAACAACAACAATAATAATAACACAAACAACACCAACAGCAGCACCATGTTACAAAAACAAAGTTGATCTAGAAACTGATCAAGGCGTCCACACCACGTCATTAGTGTCGATAGGGATACACACACTTCTTCAAACCCTGAGCCAAAGGAAAGCGCGACCGGCCAGCGCACGCCTTCAATGAACACGAGCCAAACGGCGCCGGCCTCATCGGCCGGTAATCGCATAACGTTTACCAGCCAGCAACTGCCGAACGGCACCATCAATATGGTCGGCAATCCAGGGACGGGAGGCGGTCCCACAATTATCTCAACGGCCCAGCTGCCAAATACAACGACCATTAAAACGATCCAAGCGGGTATTGGCGGACATCCGGGTCTCCAGCAGGTGCATAGTCAACTGCAACAACAACAGCAGCAGCAGCAAACGCAATCAGTAGGTGCCACCCAAACACAAACCTTAGTTATAAAATCCAATCACCATGCTGTCACCCTGCCGGCGGGTCTAGTCTCAAGTGCACCAGCAGGAATCGTAACAATGACCAAGACCATCAATCAGGTATCCACATCAAGCAAAACTTCTGGCTCCTGGCGCCTTAGGCCTGATGGTTGCTCTATCTGTAACCATACCTTCCAAAACCTCCACCCACCCAACCACTTCTATGTGTATCACTAGATATTTTCATCCTGCAAAAACTAGCAATTACACTTTTTATACCTTAAAACGGCGTAGCTTGTCACAGAAGTTTTGCATTCTTGTAGAGTATATTTATGCTTTTCCAATGTCTTGCGCATAATTTTATTTGTAATTTCATAGACCCCACCCCATCCACAGACTCAAATACTTCAAATACAAAATTAAATTTTTAAACTTCTCCAAATTTCCGCTTATAATTTCATTTAGTTTTTCCTTAATATAGAAATCTTGCAATATGAGAATACAAATTTAACAAATCAAAATTTATTCTAAATTCAAACAATAATTCCACTCCATTTAATTCTACCATTTAGCGTTTATAAATTCTGTTCGAGCCTTTGATTAAGGAAAAACCAAACCAATGAAGTAAAAATTAATATTTACACGCTGCTATATTCCCTTAAATTCTTTATAAAATATCATGAAACAACTCATAAGTTTATAAATTCTTTGCAAGCCCTAAATAAAGAATATCACCGCCCAATTCGTTTATAAGTTCATAAAACCAATTATTAGTTTCCAATTTCTCTCCTTAATGCTTTAATTAATATTTATCTACCAAATCAATCATACATTTCTAAATTCCCTTAAAGTCCTTATTAAAAAAAAAAAAAAAATTGTACATATATATACAGTGAAAACTCCCTTAATGGACTTCCTTAATGGACCACTCTCTCGGCGGACACTTTTCTAAAACATTCGATCGGTGTATAAAGTATTTATGTATCCTCTTGTCCGCCTAAGCGGATACATAAATACCCTTCGGCGGACAAAAATTGGCTGACCGTGAGTGTGCGGCCAAGAGAGTTTTCACTAGTATGGTAGAACATACTGTAATTATAGGTTTTTATTTAAACGTCTCCGGCTTTCAGTTTTCAAATATCCTTATGCCTCATAATTTAATAATGAAAATATAATTTTTTAGAACTTAATATCATGTTTAAATCAGTATTTTATTTAAACAAATTAGTAGTATGCACAAATAGGAATACTATTGATTATTTTTATACACCTTATTAATTCCGCCTTAAAAAAAGTAAGCTTTCTTTCCCCCTTTACCCATCATGTTTATCACTATTCAGCTTTTTCCATTAGTTATTACCTTTCGGTAGCATATATATTAAAGTAGACCGAGGCGTAATTTATAGTTTTCCAGATGCTTTATTTTGAAATATTCTACCCAAATTATTTGTAGTCCTTTATGTGCACTCTTGACTGCTGATTTGTGTACGGGTACTGTGACCATGGCGCAACGCAAACTCTGCTGCATGATGTAGTGTAACTGAATCTGAAACCGAAACTGAAATACTCTCGAATCTCAAAAAAAAAAGCTTTTATGCCAAAGCGTACTCCGCCTAGTGATCCAATATTTGTTACTAAAAATAATTTGTATTTCAACTCACCATTCACAGGGTGGCCAACCGTTGCTGAGCTCTATGCTGCCGGCTGGTGTCGTCGTCGGGATGCGTCCGCAGGGTCCCGGTCAGCAACAGCAGCCAAAGAATGTGCCCGCCAACCAACTCGGCCGTGTAGTCATCAGCAATTCCCACATGGGCGGTGTGAGGCCGCAAAGTCCATCGGTAAGTGGGTTTGAGATCAGGTCCTGAGGTTATGAGTACGCGTTATGTTGTTGTAGTGGATACCTCTCTACTAATCCAACCATAGCACATACATACACACATACTACACATGAATAGCAAACCACTCAACTCACAGCATTATCAGGGGCGCCTTGTACCATGCTCTGTTCTATCTCTCTGTCAATGCGTTTTTCTTTCTCTCTCTGTATCTTGTAGATCACCCTAAGCACCTTAAATCCTGGACAGACGCCTGCACTGTTACTGAAAACCGATAATGGATTTCAATTGTTGCGCGTGGGCACTGCCACGACGACGGGGCCGCCAACTGTAACACAAACCATATCCAACACCAGCAACAACACAACAACAACCACAAACCATCCCACAACAACACAGATACGACTACAAACTGTGCCGGCCGCTGCTGTAAGTAGATATCATGGGCAAGCGCCACAAGCATCACAACAACAACAGCAACAACAACAGCAACAGGCACAACAAGCATCTGCACAAGCAACAACAACAACAGCAACCACCACTAGCATTGCACTTCGTAAAACGATTGTCAGAACTTCATCCACAATCCCATCCAATAATAATAATAATGTCACCACAAATCTCACCGCTACCAACACCACAACCACTACCAACAACAACAATAACAGCAACATCAAGACCACTTCTACTGCTACTACTAACCTGCAACAACAACAACAGCAGCAACAACAACAAAAGCTACAGCAACAACTAAAGCAGCAGCAACAGGCCAAGCAACAACAGCAGGCAGTGGTCAGCGCTGCAGCCGCGGCAGCCGCTGCCGCAAATGTCGCAGCCACTATAAAGATCAAGCAAAACGTAATTGTTTGCAACAATAATAAAATTATTAATTATTATTATTGCAAAAGAACAGCCTAAATATAATATCAATATTTGTTATTATCTTTAACTTTATGCCGATTTCAAAGCGCTCTTTTTAACTGTCTCTTTTTTAGTATTATATATAATTATTACATATATATACATATATGAATTATATGTCCGCATATATGTGCATTGAATTTTGCGAACCTTCCCAAAGTAGAATTACTTCAATCATGCTGTTAAAATGTAGATTATTCTCGATCTGTTAACATGTTGACATCTGAAGACCTGATGAAGATCTGATGTGTAGACGTCTGATGTGAAAACATCTGACTGATTTTTACCCAAAGAATTTAAATATATACATTTCTCATTTTATTTTAACCTTTAAAATGTATGTATATATCTACGTTTTTAATCTTTACCTATAGAATTCGAATTCTACATATTTACCAACAAAATAGTATCACCGAATTTCAATTATATAATTTTATTTATTTAGACAATTGAAATTTGAACTAAAAGTTGGAAAATTTGAGTTATTTGAATTTATTTTTATTTTTTTACCATTTATATTTTAATCTCACAATCTTTTATTCCACCAATAGTTGGAAAATTTGAATTTATTTTTATTGTTTTACCATTTATATTTCAATCTCACAATCTTTTATTTCACCAATAGTTGGAAAATTGGAATTATTTGAATTTATTTTTATTTTTTTATTTTATTTATATTTCAATTTCACAATATTTTATTCCCCCAATTGCCCAATTGAAGTAGAAGTCCTTTAAGACACTTAAAACTATTGAACCATATCTTCATTTGAATACACAAAAGGTCGCACAATACAATGTACACGTATGTATATATAATAATACATACGAATATCTTGTCTGTTATACGTTTGATCTTTATTATACAAAGCTTCAGTTATATTCTTTGTAACTAGCAGCTAACGCTGCACGCGGCATTCTTGCATTTACATTTTGATTTCTAATATCTATTGAGTAATGGAAAGATAAACAATATTTTATCCAATTTGCGCTCTGTTTTTGCATGCTGCGTTGTAAAAGTCTGTGTAATTGAAATGATTTTTGATCAAATATTTATGATTTAGTTTTGCTTTTGCGTTGGCGTAGCAGCTGTCCAAGAACTATGGGAAAATTGCTGTTGTAATTCATTTGGCAAACGGAGTTGGAAATTGGCATAGGGAACCGCAATAATCTAATCGATTCCTTTTCATTTGGATCAAAATAAATCGCCATTATGTGCCATCAAAATGAATGATGAATCAAAAACCTGCTCCTTTACTAACATTATTATTTAGTTTTGCTTTTGCGTTGGCATAGCAGCTGTCCAAGAACTATTGGAAAATTGCTGCTGTAATTTATTTGGCAAATGGAACTGGAAATTGGCGTAGGGAACTGCAATAATCTAATCATCTCATTCGACTCGATTCCTTTTCATTTGGATTAAAGTAAATCGTCATTATGTGCCATAAGAATGAATTATGAATCAAAAACATGCTCCTTTATTAACTTATGCTTGCACCTTTTATTTAGCATTCTAATCGTTGTCTGCCTGAGAGCTTAAAGTAGTTTGTATTTTATTGCTATCTAATCGTTATCACATCATTTGTTGCCTCTCCCCATTTAGTCTATGACGAACACTACGGCGACCAACAACATCATTGTTAACTCGGTGGCGTCCAGCAATGCGCATGGCTACACAACATCGGCCTCCCAGCCACCCCATCTGGCGCAGCTGAACACGCAGGCGCCCCATCTGCCGCAGATCACGCAGATCCAAACGTTACAGGGTCCACCGCACACACAGGCCACCAGCTTGAACAGCGGCACTGCGACGGTGGCTAGCGCCGCGAGCAGCACCAGCAGCAGCACCACCACCACTACAACAACAACAACGGCAGCGCAGGGTAATACCAAAGAGAAGTGTCGCAAGTTTTTAGCCAATTTAATCGAATTGTCGACACGCGAGCCCAAGCCGGTGGAGAAGAATGTCCGGACACTCATCCAGGAGCTGGTCAATGCGAATGTCGAGCCCGAAGAGTTCTGTGATCGTTTGGAACGTCTGCTCAACGCCAGTCCACAGCCTTGCCTCATTGGGTTTCTGAAGGTGAGAGAGCCCCGCACATTCATAATCGAGTGACTCTTTACTGATGCTCCTGTGTTGACCTACAGAAAAGTCTGCCGCTGCTCCGACAGGCCCTCTACACAAAAGAACTGGTCATCGAGGGCATCAAGCCGCCACCCCAGCACGTGATCGGTCTAGCTGGACTTCAGCAACAGCTGCCGGTAAGTGATTTGAAATTGAAACTGTTAAATAGCGTTTTTAGCAGAGCTTTCTGGACAACAATGATGAAGGTGGGGCAGCAATTAAGTTTCAAGCTGCCCCATGTTAAAGTTTTAAATGAAAACCACATGTTTAGGATAAGCATAAAATGTGAGCAAGTAGACCATGTCAAATCTGATGTACAGACATCGGGAACGAATATAAGTAGTTGCTGTGTAGGCAACTAATGTGTAGAAAATACGGCGACTCTTTTTCATATTCAACTCGATCTTTCCATACAACTAGTTGTTGTAATATGTTCATATCTGAATATTAAGCATCTGACGAATATGTATCTGACGGCTGGCGTTTTCTTTTTGTTATTCAATTTTCTGCCTCTTCTGGTTGTTAAGATGTACACATCTGACGTGAAGACATTCTCATAAAAAGTGTCCTTTCTAATAATATAACTTATTTCCTGAATACTTTAAAATCCAGCAAATGTAAGACATATATCAACTGTTTCGCACTCACCTTTTTAGAAAATCCAAGCGCAAATCCGTCCCATTGGCCCACAGACGACGACAATTGGACAGACGCAGGTGCGCATGATTACACCGAATGCGCTGTCAACGCCGCGTCCGACCATTGGACACGCGACGATATCAAAGCAACCGCCGGGGATACGTTTGCCAACGACGCCACGACTCGTCAATACTATACAAAGACAGTTGCCCCTACAGGTGCCCTCACAAGCGGTAAAAATCCCGTATGAGATTAAATATCTCACTCATTCTAATGACCTCTCAAAATATTTATAGAACATTGTACAAATACGCACGCCACAGAATGCGCAAATGCAGCGGACGGGCGCTGTACAAATACGCGCCACGCCCCGACCACAACTCACGCCCACGAACAAAGTCACTGCCGTCAAGGTGGGCCAGACGCAGATAAAGGCAATAGCGCCGAGTCAGCACCCACCCTCGCTAGCCGCCATATCGGTCAGTGGACCACCGCCAACGCCCACACTGTCCGTGCTCTCCACCATCAATTCAGCGTCGGCCACTTTGCCGGTGCCGTCGCTGCCGACGGTGCATTTACCGCCAGAGGCGTTACGGCAACGGGAGCAGCTGCACAATTCGCTGCACCACAACAACAACAATCACCACGACATACACAAGTTCGAGCCGAAGCTGGTGGAGATCAGACAGCCTGTGTCGCATATAGAGCGAATTAATGCTTCCCTCACGCCGATATCGGCGAGCAAAGCGCCGGCCAAGCCGTCGCCAGCTTTGAGCAAGGCGGCAAGTAAAAAGAAGAAGGACGCGCAAGATCGAGATGGCAAGGATGAGAAATCGCTCGGTGGGAGTGCCGCGTCAGCGGGCTCAGCAGCCGGCAATTCCTTTTTTCAACAGAGCTCCATGTCCACATCCATGTATGGCGATGACGACATCAACGATGTGGCCGCCATGGGTGGCGTCAACTTGGCTGAGGAGTCGCAGCGCATTCTGGGCTGCACGGAGCATATTGGCACGCAAATACGATCCTGCAAAGACGAGGTGTTCCTCAATCTGCCCGCGCTGCAGGCGCGTATACGCGCCATCACAACAGAGCGCGGCCTCGAGGAGCCCTCGCAGGACGTGGCGGTGCTCATATCACATGCGTGCCAGGAGCGACTTAAAAACATTGTCGAAAAGTTGGCTGTGATAGCAGAGCATCGCATCGATGTCATTAAGGTAAGATCTCCTTCCAAAACAATCTCTAATCAGCGTAGTAATGTGTTGTCGTTTTTCATCCCTCCTGCACCTCAGCTGGATTCGCGCTATGAGCCTGCGAAAGACGTACGTGGTCAAATCAAATTCCTCGAGGAGCTGGATAAGGCGGAGCAGAAGAGACACGAGGAACTGGAGCGTGAAATGCTGTTGCGTGCGGCCAAATCTAGGTCACGCATCGAAGATCCCGAGCAGGCGAAAATGAAGGCCAGGGTAAATGCCCTTTATAAAGCGGAAATACGTGAACAGCCAATATTAATGAATAATGGTTTATTTCAGGCCAAGGAAATGCAACGCGCTGAAATGGAGGAGCTGCGTCAGCGCGATGCCAATCTGACGGCTCTGCAGGCCATTGGACCACGTAAGAAACTCAAATTGGACAGCGATGCGATTAGTGCGGGAGTGGTGCGTAAAAGTGGATCATAACCACATACCTTCAATATTTACTAATACTCTAATATTATCCGCAGGGCTCCAGTGGCAGCACTTTACTGAACAACGCCAGCACAGCGTCGACAACGTTACGACCGCGCATCAAGCGCGTCAACCTGCGCGACATGCTCTTCTATATGGAGCAGGAGCGGGAGTTTTGTCGCAGCGAGCTTTTGTTCAAAAGCTACCTCAAGTGATTGCTGCTGGCGCTGTTTTACATTGTGTGGTGCATTGCAATGCTTTGCGAGCTTCTTACTGTCGTAACGCATCGTAACTCCTGTCATATAATATGCAATATTTTGTTTTCTTCAGTTTTCTTTTAATTGCGTCTTTGTTGTTTTCTTTCTATTAGGTTCCTTCTTCTCTTAAATATTATTAAGCTCAAAATTTTACGCTCTACACATAATTAATTTAAACATTCTTTCAATAATTTACCTTTTAATAAATTGTGTGCAAAACTTAGACCAAACCAATCCAAAAACAATAACAACAACAAAAAGAAGAAGTATATATGAATGGACAAACACTAAAAACAAATTATAATAACACTAGCAAAGCTCAACGCAGAGTCAGCCAGTGTTTGAATTTTTTCAACTTTAACATTGTTTGCATAACAAATTTTGTAGCGTGCTGCGCTCGTTGGGCGCAGCTCGCATTGACGGCCTTATCTAAACGATATAAACATATAAAAACAAAAGTAAAGTGTTACATAAATTAGTAGTCTAGTTCGTTAAACTAAACGCAAAAGAATTTTAGCATAAGTTAGCAGCGCGAAGGATAAAAACATATAAAGGAGAATTTAAAATGATTTGCAGTCAGCTCTAAAAAAAGAAAAAAACAAATAACAAGGAGAAAGAAATGGTTTGAAAAACCCCCCAATGAATATAATATCCGTATTGCCGCAATGAATGTAATTGTGTAGCTCGATAAAAAAAATTTATTTAATTTTAGTTTAGCAACGTAAGCAAGATTTGTAAAAAGCGTAGCGTAAGTTTTTCTATAAACAATACCTAGATAATCGCCGCATATTTAACAAATTTATAGAAAGCTGACCAGAATGAAATGTCGTCATTGTACTAAACGCTAAAACAAAACCTAGTTTTTACAATTTAAATTATATTTGATCAGTCGTGCGTTATATATACATATATCTTAGACGATGACGTAGTCTTAAGTGTAAATGTTTCGCAGCGGTTTAAAGTTTAAGCCTATTTGGCAATTAGTTTGTAGAGAGCAGCAGCTTTGCAGCCCGTAATTAAACAGATAATAAATAAATCAAGCAAACAAGAAAAACATTTCAATAACAACAAATAAAATAGACAAATTTTATACAATTAGAAGACAAAAGTGAGAAGCCATTTACAAATAGAATCCATCATCAAATCGGATAGAAATAGACAAGAAGAGCCCACGTTCAATAAATAAATAAAGAAAAAATTGTGTATAAATCTAAAAAAAAATAAAATAAAGTAAATGGCATACCAGCGTATAGTTTAGTAGTTATATATATAGTATATAACTAATGAGCGTATGTATAATACAAAAATTCATATTATGTTTTACATTTAAATCTAAACAACAGCAAACACTCTTGTATGTACAATTTAAGTTTAACAAATAAAACGACAAAAAATACAAAACTAATGGACAACCACATATTATTGATTGATTCAAGCGGGGCAGAAACTATAGATCAACAGCCTTTTGTATATTATTATTTGTCCGTTAATAAACGCAATCAAACACACACACACATTTAAATGGTATCTCAGTTAATTAGATAGTTAATTAATTATACCTTTTGTAGTTGAAATTTAATTAAATTGATATTTTTTATATGTAACTATTATTATTATTATGTTTATAATTATTCTTTGATTATTTGTGTAGCTTTTAGTTGGAAACTAATATAAAAATAAAACCAAATTCACATTTGGAAACCAGAAAATAGAACTTTTTAATAACTTTGCGCTCTCGATTTCATTTCCCTCACCTAGAATATTTATAAGAGTGCCTGCTATGGGGTATTCATATTTGTTTGCATTTATCTTTGCTCTCATTAAAATTGGATTTTTATAGCCTGTACCCAAAGGGTGAAAGGCTATACTAGTTTTGTGCGAATGTATGTAACATACAGAAAGAGGCGTGGCAGACCCCACAAAGTATATATATTATTGATCAGGATGACAAGCCGAGTCGATATAGCCATGTCCGTTCGTCCGTCTGTATGAACGCAAGGATCTCAGCAAGAATAACAAAACCAGATTCTCCTCAGTCCGAGAAAGGACGAGTTTGTGTTTTTTTTTCCTTTTTGGTGCAGGGTATTTAAAAGTTGAGCCTGCATTCCTGGTCTTTAGCATTCCTTTCTTGTTTAATCCTTAAATATTATGACCTATGGCTATGACCTATTTTATCTTTGAAGCTGCCAACTCAATTTGATTTTTAATCCCATTTCCAAATCTAGCTATAATTGTGCGTTCAATTTCATTTCAATTTTAACTCTCCTGGAGGCAGCCATGTTTTTCATTTTTTGTTATTAAAGATGTATTTAGTTTTATTTTGTATAAATGATAATAAGAAACTTTAACTTTCCTAAACGTATTGCTGGGCAGTATAGCATTATATATTATAGTTATAAGTATATAAGTTATATCTCTATTTTTTTTAAATTTTACATAACTCTATTATTTCGATATATTTATTATAGCCTGTACCCAAAGGGTGAAAGGCTATACTAGTTTTGTGCGCATGTATGTAACACACAGAAGGAGGCGTGGCAGACCCCACAAAGTATATATATTCTTGATCAGGATGAGAAGCCGAGTCGATATAGCCTTGTCCGTCCGTCCGTCTGTCCGTCTGTCTGTCCGTCTGTCCGTATGAACGCAAGGATCTCAGAAAGTATAAGAGCTAGAATAACCAAACTTGGTTTCCATATTCTCCTAAGACCGAGAAAGTACGAGTTTGAGTTTTTTTTCGATGCACCCCCCCACTCCCCCGCAATTCGTGTTTTTTCTTATAACTTCCGTAATTCTCGGAATTTTGAAATCAATTTTGGTAGGTACATCCAGTTAGTACTAATGTGTCCGTGTGCCAAATTTCATCATGATAGGTCAATTCTGAAGAAAGTTATAGCCATAAGTAAAATCGCTGCTCATGCGCTGCCTCTGTCGGCAGCGCTGCCCGCAGCTGTTGTTGTTGTTGCTGCTTTGGTTCAACTTTGTGCTGCATACATACACGCATATAAACACGCATAGGTACGTGATGTAAATGTATGCTGTTAAAACTAAACATAAACATATATTCTAATTTAATTTAATTAATTAATTCATTAATTTTTTTTAATAATTTAATTTTTTTTTTAAATTTTTTTTTTTTTTAATTTTTCTTTTTTTGTGGAGAGTACAGGCTATTTTACTGTCGGGCTTGCTCGACTGTAGCGTTCTATCTTGTTTTAGTATTTGTCATTTCCTATTAGAAATATCCCCTTCCCATTCACCAAATTCTTATTTATTCTTCTTATGTTCTTCCATTGTTTTAATTAAGTTATTGTGTTGTTTTAGAACTGGCCAATTTTTTTTAAACAAATGGTGACATTTTTCAGATGCAGTCAGATTTTGAAAATTTCAGAGGTGGTAAAAGTTTTTATGAAATTTATTTAATTTTTTTTGGGATTTATTTGATAAGGAAGAATTACGAACTACATCATTTTTTACATTATATATATTTCCAAATGAGCTCTCTTTAATTTTATATATCTTTAATATATTTTTTGGTATAACTTTATAACCTGTATAACTTTCGCAAATAAATAATCAACAAGTAGGGAAGCAAAAGTCGGGCGCCCCGACTTTGAAATACTCTGACCATTTGCTTAGAATAATTATAAAAATTAAGAAAATTAAAAAAAAATTAGATACATCTATTATAATGAAACTTGGCATACGGACCCACACTAACTGGGGGTACTTGCCAAATTTGAGTTCGACATTTCAAGAATTACATGAGCTATGAAAGATCTCTAATTGCTGCGGAGAGGGGGAAGGGAGGGAAATTCCAAAGTACACATTTTCTGCGTATTCAGATAAGGCATCTGGGTCTAAAATTTGGTGTCCCTAGGTCTTATAGTCTATGTATAGATTATACAAATGGAAAATCGGGAGAACCCCCCTAAGGGGGAAGTTGGGGGATCAAATCTTTATCGCTCACCTACACCTTGAAAGGATACTTGTCCAAATGTCAGCGTCTTAGCTCATTTCAAACTGTCTGTGCGTTGATCACCAATCAGTCAGTCAGACAGTCAGGACAAACTGTTTTATATATACAAGTATGTACTCGTACTCGTATATACATAGGTTAAATAAATAAAACAAACAACACATATTTGATTTATACTTCTTTTTATTTGTATATGAAGTGTAAAACGTTATGTTAACAAAAGTGTCGCAATGCTCAACTAATTAATTGTTTAAGCCTACTTTTTACAAGCGTTTCGAAAGTCTGCCCAGTGGGCCTTTCATTAAGATATCTATAATTTCTTTATTGTATTTCTAAGGAGCTGATGGTGCCGATTTATAACAGATTAATAAAGTGAATATTGATTTTTGAAACCTATTAAAATGCTTAGTCTAGGTTGAACTCACTTGCGTGGCTTGCTTGATAATTTCTCTTAAATTATTTAAGTTAATTATTGTGTTTCATTATTATCAACATTTGCTATATCCTACATACTGCGACGGCTAATGATTTCATTATTCTACTCCATCTGCGTAAACATATTCTCACTTCATTCCTCTCTCATCGTTGCGGGTTATTATCTGTGGATTCATTGGGCTTGGCAAGCAACAAATACTCCTGAATGTCGTAGTCGAAGAGCTCAAAGTCGTATCTGGAATGAAGTGGGAGAGTTTTAATTTGGGGTTTTCGGTTAATAGATCTGTCTGTATATACTTGTAGTACTCGTAGAGCTCCAGCATTTCCTGACGCGTCAGCTGTGAATAGAATTGCCGCTGCAGCTCGTTGGTCTTTCGACCCCCTTTGCCCATATTCCGCCACACGGGCGCTATAACACGTTTCAGTCCAGTCTTTTCGATTAGATATAATTGATCTTCCGCCAACGATTCGAACTTCAATATCATGTCGAAGCGTATAAGGCAAGGCGTGCAGAACGATGTGGAGGCCACAAAGTGCATGTCTATAAAGCTCCCGCGTTTCACTTGATCCAACAGCCAATGCACGAATTCGGGAAACGAGGGGTACTTCGTATTGGCAGAACGAGCCAACAGCGTTTGCTGAAAGACACAATAACCAAAAAAATTTGTAATGTAAGAAATACAATTCGAGCAATATTGAAACAATGTATTTTTTTTGGCTTGAAGATTATGGAGATGAAATTTATATAGTAACAGTTATCAGAAATCTCTCAGCTTAAATTAGGATATGGACTAAAAATGATAACTTTGAATATCTGTAAAAAAATTTAGATAATATTAACGAGGGGTTGTTATTAAAATATGTCCCTTGGTTTTGTCATAATTGAGATGGAGTTTGTGAAAGCATCTGAACTTCATCTTTGAAGAAATAATTATCATAATTATAAATAAAATTAATATAAATATGGTTTCCTCAATGTCATTCAATTATTTTTGGAATTACATTCCACAGATAAAGTCGGAATTTCGTATTCGTATAATTTGTATGATACTGTAAAAAAATGACCTTCAGATTTAGGATTATTGACATAAAGCATTTCACATATAATTTTAATTATATCATTTCCGCTTCATCTTTAAAGAAACGGTGTGGAACCAATAATGTTTATGTGAAATTTGAGATTCTAGAGTAATAAGTCAGAAGTCTAACAACCACGTATTTGTTTAAAAAAATATAATTAATTTAGATATTTCTCATATTGGAATTCTTTTTGAAACTTAAATAAATTATTTTAAGTTAGTCTAGGAAAACTATAAAGAGTCAAAAGTCAAAAACAACAGCTGTATAAAGTTAGATATTTATAGTATTTTTAAAAGCAACTAATTCCTCATCATAATCGATATCTTCAAGCTTACCTTTTTGCGATAGTTGCGAACAATGCTGCGCCCAAGCTTATCGTGGAAGGAATATGGCAGCGCAAAGACCATTTTATCGCGATACGCGCTCAAGAGGCGCTCAAAAGGATTACGAGCTATTATGAACGTCACCGAGTCGTTTTGAGCCTCGCGTAGCTGTAAGTGAATAAACAGTTGCAGTCCTTCATCTAGATTATTTATAAGAGTGCTTGCGATGAGATATTCATATTTTGTTTGCTTTTGTCTTTCTTCTCATTATAATTAAATAATTAATCCTTAGCCATTGAGTTGACTTGACATTCCGAAGAGCTGCCCTATTTTATCTGCGGAGCCGCCAACTTCAAATTGTTCATTGTCCATCCAATTTTCAAATCAGCGCTCGCCCTGCATTTTCTGTAACTTTGGCAGTTCAACAAATGGGTCTCTTGTTATAACTGTGCGTTCAATTTATTATTATACAGTATTTTATTTTTTTCGTTTTGCTATAAATGTTATATATTGTAATTATTATTTTTGTAACCATATTTCAGAAGCTTTTGGCTTTTCTTTTCTAAAACAATTTATACAGTATTTAACCAGATCGGGAATTTTGTAAAAGATTAAGCCCACAATCGAAATTGTTTTTAATTGACAATCGACTTTCGGCTCACGGAATCTACGGGCATTTCATTTTATTATTTTTTGGTTCTTCTGTTTTCTTAGTTAAATTTGTTCTGAATCTATTTATAATATTAATTTATTTATAATATTAATATACATTATTTGGTCTAACAACCACTGTAATTCCAGCATACCTGATAATCAATAAAATTTCAGTAGAGAGACGTATTTATTATTATTATATATTCATATATTCTCTATCACAATGAGTTTGTCTGCATCGACAGTCTTGTTATATATTATTCTAAGTGTTGTTATTATTTTTTAATTGATTTTAGTTAGTTGAAATTGTGTATTTAACACTTTCATATTCATTTTATTCGAACTCACCTCCTCGAGGGACACGCGTGGATATCGCTCCCTCGCCAAGTTGAGGAGAATCTTTTTGGTCTTTCGTAAATAGCTGGGCGAGTAACCGGCCAGCACATTGAAGTTGAACATCCAGGACGATGAGGCAGCCTTGAAGACATTGCACCTGGTAAAGGCGCATTAGCAACATAAAAAAGAGTATCTCCACACAGTACATACCAGATGATGTGATATTTCTTGTTGACCAGAAACTCCCACGTGTTCGGCGTGTGCCAAGAGTCGTGACCTGTAAATAATTGGATTATTGGGTTTTATAGTATACTGGCACACCATTACCTCAACTTACCCAATACGTCCAGGCCAAAGTCTGTGCATTTGTCCCTCAGGCGTTCCCGACGAGCCTCCATCCGCTCCCCCACCCTCTGCATTTCCGCAGGCGAAAGTGTTTGAACGGCATAGTCGGGTATGAGTGGCAGGCGCGTTTGATTGATGTCCTGTTGATAAAACACACACATTTTGTATATAATTATAACATACAATATATTATGCAGAAGGGCGACTTATGGAGGTGCAGGAGCAACAACTACAACAACAACATACATAACAAACACAGGATAAGTGTTGAGTAAGCAAGAAATAATCGTAGACTATAACGAACACCAAAGTCGACCGCTCCCTGCTTTTGTATTGCCTGTAACCACAAAATTATTGCTTATATTCAGATGCATTTTCCAAAACAAATAAATATCAATACTTATATTTTAACTTAAAATTTTAATCTTTCCAATCAACCAATAAGTAATACATTTATTTGGAAAGAAGTTTTTCTTACCAAGACTGATTTTTGCACCAATCGTTGTTATTTAATTATAAAAGCATTACAAAAAATTGCGAATTTAATGAAACTTCGAATTACACATTTTTTAAGATAATTATATAATTTGGCATTATATAAAACATCAACCTGAGAAAAAAAACATTTTCGCTCCCAAAAAGAATGTTTGTGGATATAGAGGAAACTTTCTAATATGTTAGAAATAATAAAAAACATACAAAGTTTTGTAACAATATCGAGTTCAGCGATGGTTCCTTTGACTGGTATATCAAACAATAAAGCTACAATAAATGAAATGTTATAATTAAAATTGATCTGCACATACATGAGACAAGTATACATGTCAAGTTTGATCCTCCTAGCTCTGTTAGTTCCAAAGATATCGACGTTCATACAGTCACACAAATAAACGGACAGATGGTCAGCCGCATATAGCGGTATCAAATTTTCTAGTCAGTCTAATCACTTATGTGATGATAATATGGGGTATGCACAGATCCTTCCTATGACAGCTACGCCAAGTTGTGTGTGCCTAGCTGCTATGGCTCAACTGATCTCGATGTTCATACAGACGGACGGTGAAACGGACATGGCCATGCTGATTATAATAAGCCACACCTCCATCTGCCTGTTACATTAAGAAATTTTTATTACGCCCTTCCAGCTCTGGGGGGTACAAGGCACTCAACAATATGACAATAAACTGCTTCGTGTGAAATGAAAACTGAAGCGAAAAAATGTTGCCCAATGTTTGGAAAGAGCGTGAGTGACGGTTGGGAATTCTTAGTGGATACATGTGAGTGTGTATGAGTTTGTGTGCATGTGTGCCTTTCAACATGTTTAATGCTCTGCAAATATGCTATAAATTTGGTGGCACTCTGCTTGCCGTGCCCATTAATTACATGTATGGTGGTGGTAGTTGGTTGGTTGTGGATGTGGGAACGAGAGTATGAACGATATATTAAATATTTACTTTATCGACATAACGCCACTTGTTCTTTGTCTTGCCCGTTGCCACCACAGTGAGCTCCTTGTTTTTGTTGTTTTTGTTCAGCAGGAGCACAGGATACCGAAAACTGGAGGGTGCCTGCGCCTGTGGCGATTGCTGCTGCAGTTGTGCTTTAAAGGCCTAAAAGAGCAGTTTCAGTTTTGTTTTTACACTTTTTCTCTTCGATTATTAGTTGAATAAGAATATTGTAAGTAGGATCAAATCTAGCTATATTGACATTAATTGGCGATGGCAAGGCGATTATAGTACATACAAGTAGTTGGTAAACTGAAGGCATGGATTGTGTACAGGTGCATGTTTAATGGACTGCCGACGAGGCGTATGCGCAATTAGCAACTAATGATTATTTAAACAATTTTAAAGAGTCCCCTGGCATGACAATGTCAAGGACGCGCCACGCAACTCACAACTAAAATACGGCCGATTGTAAATTCCCACCAACAGACACTCGTATCTGTGTAAATAGGACTATAATTTCAATTGTAGGTGCATCAAGTGCTGCGTGTCGCTTCAAGCAGTTGTCCGCCACGTGTCGCCGTGTCGTGATAAGTTGCATGCCACTTTGCATGATGTGCAACACTCATTCCAATTCACCCGATCCCTACATCCCCCCCCACCCCTTTTCCACATTTCTGCATGCATTCTGCATGAGGTCAGAGAAAGACAGGGAGCGAGATAGAGGTGTCCGCACAAGTGGCGCTATTTGCATGACGTGTGCTGTGTGGGCGGTTGGAGATTACACAGAGAGAAAACAAATGAATATTCTCGTACTTATAATAAATGGACAGCAATGGAGATTCTTATGCTCATACTAAAAAATCTTGGTATAGAAAAACATGATTTGAGACGATTTCAAATCCGTTTCTCGCTTGATTCGATATTCAATTGTAATTCTTTATTTAAATGAATAATTACTCAGATCCATCTATGTTCGACCTCAATTTCAGACCTTCACTTTTCTGGCAGTGTAGAGTGCTCGGCTCTGTGCTTAATTATGCATGTGCTGGTCAGACAAAAGTCAGCCAGAAAGTAGGTCTGCCTGAGCGCACAAAAGCACTTTTTTCTACTCAGTATACCCGTATGTAAGTACTTTTAAATCGTCGGCATTGTTTGTAATGCAAGTGAGCTCTGATTAAAAGGAAAGAAGTGAGATATCCACAAGCATTCCGTGGAGAATAATAGCGTATTGCACCCAAGAAATTGATAAGGCTAAGCAAATATTTTCATCGCCATTAAATACAAGTGGCGTTTTAATTTTTATAAAAATGTGAGGGCAACTAAGAAAGCAAGTAATTTGCACACAAATTTGTTCTGGTAAAGTGGAAGGTGATTTAGATTGATAAATTCGACAAATTTGTGTGCAAAATATCCATCTGTCTGACCGTAAATTAAATGCTTCTTGCTTTATAGTTTCATACTTTTTAACAAATGATTGAAAGTTCTTTTGAAACTTGTCTCTGTTTCTAATCAGCCCTACACATAGTCCATCTCTATCCGAATTACAATCCCCGCAGGCAATAAATGTAAAATAGACTTATGTTTCATATAAATATTATTGTTTTTTTTTGTTTATTAGTTGTATTCCATCAGTCATTCAGTTATCACGCGGGTACAAATATACATTTATTTTATTTCTTTGTGGGTTTATTATTTATTGTTATTTTTCGCTTTCCTTTCAGTCAACTCGCATTTCACCGATAATTCAGTAGGTGTTCAATGTCCTCTTCCAGCGCTGATGGTGGTGTTTGGGGTTCGTAACGTCGATAGACATAGCCAAACTTATCGATCAGAAATTTGCCAAAATTCCACTCGATTTCACCTCCCGGAACGTGGCAACGCTTCCGTTTGAGCATTTCGAATAGAGGTGCAGCCGTCAAGCCATTCACCTCCAGCTTGGCAAACAAACTGCCAATATTTAGCTTCACCTGCCGCATATGTTCCAGCAATTCGAAGCCATCTGCCTCAGGCATTTGATTACCAAACTGATTGCAGGGAAAATTCAAAATCCTAAGCCCACGCGCCTCGTATTTATCTCGCAGCATTGCCAGACCAGTGTACTGTGCTTGGGTCAGACCGCAGCGAGAGGCAATGTTGACAATGAGGAGCACCTGGCCGGCATAGCTCTGTAGCCGCACCATCTGACCATGGGTGTCCGAAACGGTGAACTGATGGACGCTGTCCCTCAGACGCATGTCCTCCAATTTCGACTTCAGCTTCAGATGGCAGTGGTAGACACTCGAACCCAACACAACTAGGGCCACGGCATAATGCCACATCAGTTCCTTGTTGTTCGACATAGAGAGACCCTCACAACGCACCTAAGAACTATTTAACTGAATGGCAAAAACCGCTTTTCTGGTACACGTACTAATTGAGCGAATTGTCACGCCAATTGTGTCACCAATTTTGCACGCTTGGCACAAAACAAATATTCGAATTTATTAGTGAAATACATACATATGTATGTATGTACATATTTGCTTGGTGAAGTATTCTTCGCCTACTTTCTTATCGTTGCTCACAATCTAATGGAATGAGTCTTCTTTGAGATTGTGGAGCGACATATCGATGTAGCGGCATTTGAAGCCACGTTGCTTGAAGCACAAGCTAGACTTATGCGCCATATGACTTAGCCAGTGTTGGAAAGCGTTGTTAGAGTGTTAAGAAACGAATATATGCAAAATAATTCTTATCTTAATATTTCGAAGCACATCATTTCGCCTGCAAATCGAAATCATCTCTATGCAACTAAAAGAAATGAGATTTGCTTTTATACTATAAATATGTAAATGCAAGAGGAAAATTGAAATTGATGTCATACGTCAAACAGGTGATTAATGCCACTTTAATGTCGCTTTTATTAAGGAAACTAAATGGCACGAGCGCCTCACGAAGCGTTCGTTCAGAAGAGGGTTTCTTTGGCATTTCAATGCCTACCATACAGCTTTGGCACGTTTAATTGTTTAAGTGATTCATTTCTTGTATATTTTAAAATGAATAAGTATTAAGTGGAATCAATGTACATGTTGTTTTGTACACACATTCTAGAAATGGTCGATCCCAATCAGCATAGAGGAGAACGGTACACAAAGAAAGAGGGAAATGCCGAATAGCTGGAAAATATTTGTTAAGAAGTTAATAATGTAGATTGTGTTTATAGGCAAGCGCGATCTAAGGAATTAGTTTACCGAAAAGCAAATCTCTATATACCCAATTCACATTGTGCATTTCTCCACAAATGTTTGGAGAAGAAAACAAGTAAAAAAGCTAAAGTCGGGTGTCCCGACTTTGAAATACTCTGTACATATGTTTACAATAATTATAGAAAATAAAAAAATTAAGAAAATTAAAAAAAAACAAAAATTGATCGATTTTACCTCTCTCGGTATTCGAACTCACGTAAAGGGTTTATAATTGCACATTTACATAGCAATTGCGTCTGTGTGAGTGTATGTATGCCTATGCGCATCTATTCGTGTCTGTGTAAGCATTTTCGCAGTCAACCAAACAGCAACATCAACAACAGCCGCGGGCAGCGCTTGAGCAGCGATGCAGCAGCAAATATATTTATGGCTATAACTTCTTGGTAAATCGGTCTATCATAGTGAAACTTGGTATACGGACATATAATAACCAACTGGGGGTATTTCCAAAATTGTAGTTCGAAATTCCAAGAATTACGGGAGTTACGATTTGCGTGGTAGAGGGGGGAGGGAGGGAAATTCCAAAATATACATTTTCTACGTATTCACATAAGGCATCTGGGACTAAAATTTTGTGTTCCTAGGTCTTATAGTCTCCGAGATATAGGCGATTATACGAATGGAAAATCGGGAAAACCCCCATAGGGGAGAAGTGGGGGGGAAAATCAAAAAAATAAAACAAACTCGTATAGAATACACACATAACGCATCTTTGTTCAAAATTTGGTGTCTCTATCTCTTATAGTCTCTGAGATCCAGGTGTTCATACGGACGGACAGACGGACAGACTGACAGACGGACAGACGGACAGACGGACAGACAGACAGACAGGGCTAGATCGACTCGTCTCGTCATGCTGATCAAGAATATATATACTTTGTGGGGTCTGCCACGCCTCCTTCTGCCTGTTACATTTTTCAGCTCCCGCAAACCTAATATACTTCTGTACATTTCATGTACAGAGTATAAACAGCGACCTTTGTTGATTTATTCGTTGTTCTTGTTTTGATTATTTTTCTTTTTATTGATTGTACCTAAAAAATATGAAAATTGAACAACGCTCATTTAAAAGCCTGTTAAATTACTATTACTTAAGCTTTTTAAAATATGTAAGCCCACCAACTTTTTCATATGAATTTAGGCCAAAAATTCACAAAATTGTGCATAACAGTTGACGTTTAAGGTGTGGTTGGGCGCGAAAAATCCAAATTCAAATATCTTGACCCCGACTACAAAGAGTTCTTCCCGGGAAATCTGAAACCAAGCTCTTTCAGCACCTTTCGAATGAGCTCAAAATTTGCTGTAATATTGGTGCTGGTGCTTTCGCAGCTCGATGAACTGCTTTCAGTGAAGTGATTTCAAGGATGTAGAAAAAGTTTTTGGAAAATTTCCCGGCCAGTAACTTTCCCAAATATAGCAGTAACTGCCTTTGATTTTGTTTCAAGGACCATTTTGCGAGTTCGTTCTAGGTGTACGGAACTGCCAGAAACTGCCAGCGCTGGCCCCAAATTTGAACGACCATCGATTTTTCGTGCGACTTTTCCAGCTTTTTTTTTTGGCTGTTAGTTGTGTTTGTTGTTGGCGGGCACGCGCCGCTTTCCGTGACTGTCAGCGAGCGTATGCAAATGGCAGTTAACGGCAACGTTTGACTCTTCTGCTTATTTTTTATGAAGCAATTAAATTAAATTAAAGCTACATATTTGCACTAATAAAGCAAATGGCCCGCCCAAGGTCAACGTTGAGTTGCGATGCGCTCTTTAGGAATGCCAGCAATTTAAAGAAGCCTTTGGCTTGGGCTCTCCCTTTCCCTGTGCCACTGCCTCTGCCTTTGTATCTGTCGGATGCTTCGGGGAAAATGCTGACACATTCATAAGCCCCCCCAAAAAAAAAAAAGTCGCGTCGAGTCGTGCCGAGCTGAGGTAGCGGACCACATCAAAGCAAGAACGCAAAGCTTAAGCGGCTCAGAGCGCATTCGAGCAAAAGCGCCAAAGTGCGTGGCAGGGGCAGGTTCAGGGCAGGGGGTGGCAGGGGCAGACAGGGGCTGCACCTCTCACAGCTCATAAGATTTTCGTCGTTCAGAGTATATCTTTCATTTTTTTTTCACTGCGCAAATTTAATTGTAATTGTGAGCCGCATTTTGTCACTGAGTGGAAGATATTTGCTTGCTTGTCATATATTTTTCATAATCCGATTAGACACTAAAACGCTATTAGTACTAAACGCACAAAGCTACAACAACAAACAACATCAGATACTTGGACTTGCAAGTTAATTGCCAAATTAATTTACACCCAATAAAGTGCTAATTCTTAATACGCCTCATTTGTTGATTGAACTATGGGATGGATGTTGTTGAAGTGTGTGGCTGGGGGATGGAGGTGTTTGAAAATGAAGGTTATTTGTATATTTTGTTCTAAAAAATAATAATAAGCGTAATAAGCGCTAAGCATGTAACGAGGTGCGAACTCAAAATTGTTCGCAATCTGTTAAATACTAGAATAAACAAAAATGTAAACAGACAGCAGGTTTTAGCAAATAGGCACGTTCTTGTGTATTTATAGAAAACGTTCTATTCGAATTTAAAATTTTAAATGCCCTCCACAACACGCATCGTGCTGATACTCGGCTATATATGTGAACAGATTGGAACCGATATTTATGGCTCGCGGTAATGGCCAATTTTTATGACCTTTAACAGATTTTTCAAATGACATTTTCCATAACATTTTGAATGTCGATTTACATTCATCACAGCTAATTCTGAAATATTTAGGATAGGTGCTCATTACGCGTAAATAGCTACTAATAATATCTATATATACAAATATGTATTTATAAGCATTAAAGAGGCAGAGCAGACACGCAATTATTTTGATGGCGCCATTATTTATAACATTCTTTAAGTTGTTTTCAAATGAAATGAAAATTCGATAATTTAATAGAGTATTTTTTATAAATAAAGCTCAATTCAAGTTGTGGGAAAATTGCTGAAAAAACGACACGGTTCGTTGGAAAAACATATTTCGAATTGAATTCAAAAAAAAAACTTTAAATAGGATGCATTTTTTGACTGATAATTGAGAAGATTTAAGACACCGAGTAGTTTGGGAATTCAGATTAAGTGAAAATTATTATTATGTGTTTAAAAAAGCAAAGCTGGGCTTAAGTAGTGGGAAAATTGTTGAATTTTTTCCTTTAATTACAATTATGTTTGTTTTATTAACACCAACTAGTAAGAGATAGTAGGAGCGCCCTGACGTGGTTGAAGACAACAAGTATAAAATAAAAAAAGGTAAAAAAAAAACTTTTGAATATAGATGTTTATACTCTGTACATGAAATGTACAAGAGTATATTAGGTTTGCGGGAGCTGAAAAATGTAACAGGCAGAAGGAGGCGTGGCAGACCCCACAAAGTATATATATTCTTGATCAGCATGACGAGACGAGTCGATCTAGCCCTGTCTGTCTGTCTGTCCGTCCGTATGAACACCTGGATCTCAGAGACTATAAGAGATAGAGACACCAAATTTTGCACAAAGATGCGTTATGTGTGTATTCTATACGAGTTTGTTTTATTTTTTTGATTTTCCCCCCCACTTCCCCCCTATGGGGGTTTTCCCGATTTTCCATTCGTATAATCGCCTATATCTCGGAGACTATAATACCTAGGAACACCAAATTTTAGTCCCAGATGCCTTATGTGAATACGCAGAAAATGTATATTTTGGAATTCCCCTCCCTCCCCCCTCTACCCCGCAAATCGTAACTCCCGTAATTCTTGGAATTTCGAACTAAAATTACCCCCAGTTGGTTATTATGTGTCCGTATGCCAAATTTCATTATGATAGACCGATTTAACAAGAAGTTATAGCCATAAATATATTTGCTGATGCAGCGCTGCTGCAGCGCTGCTCAAGCGCTGCCCGCGGCTGTTGTTGATGTTGCTGTTTGGTTGACTGCGAAAATGCTTACACAGACACGAATTGATGCGCATAGGCATACATACACTCACACAGACGCAATTGCTATGTAAATGTGCAATTATACACCCTTTACGTGAGTTCGAATACCGAGAGAGGTAAAATCGATCAAATTTTTTTTTTTTTTATTTTCTTAATTTTTTTATTTGCTATAATTATTGTAAACATATGTACAGAGTATTTCAAAGTCGGGACACCCGACTTTAGCTTTTTTACTTGTTTAATATAGTTATGCCTAATGACTGATAATTAATGGTTTTAATACTCCGATTCCGATAATTCAGAAATAAGTTTTTAGATTGAGTTTTTCCTTCTTACGAACAAACTGTCTTACGAAAAACTATCCTTTCTCTAAAAGAGGAAACATTTTGATTCCTTATCGCTTTCCATTAACGAAGAAATATATTTTGAATTGCTTTGAAATGTATTCTTACATATTCTATTGCTTTGCAACGTTATAGAATTTATTGGTTTTAATACTCCGAGTAATTAAATAAAGCTCAGTTCCAGTAAAGGGAATATTATCTGCATAAAATGTTGAAAACTTTCGCTTTAAATTAATAATTCTATAGAGAAATTTCTATTGAATTCTTAAATAAGCTTATTCATAAATGAATATAGGTATGTAATCTGCTATATGATCCTACAATTTGCATACATCTAATATGAAAATGTTGGATGGTATCTGTATAAGAAAAATCAATTTCTCTTAATTAATTTTGAAGAGTAAAAAAATATTGCAAGTATAAAAACTGGCAATTAAGCTTATAATATTGGATGATTGGATTTACTAAAAACAGTTTGAATACAAGGATTTTAAGCGTCGGACTGGCACGATATTAACGTTCTACTCTTTTCGTTTTCATAATAACTGAATAAACTATATTAAGCAAGATGCTGAACCTATTCAAGTGACTTGGGGTGCATATAGATATATCCTCCATCTGCTGCATTGCACTTGAACTGAGCTCAAGTAAATGGCCAATCGATGGAATGCCAGCTCGTGGTAATTTTTATTGCCACTTATTTGTAATGGCGTGAGAATTTGGCTATATCTAGGATTGCGTGTAGCTATGTATGTGTGTGTGTATAAATTATCGTATATGTGGTGTGCGTTTGGGCTTTTTAAGCTACTGCGGCCTTGACAAAGCTATACTAAGAACAATAAGAAAAACTACACACTACATGAGTACGGGTGTGCCTGGGATTATTTTTGTAGTCGTTTTCGGGTTTTTGGGGCCGACTCACCTCGAATCCTTTAATCTTCTGGAGCTGCTCATTCCAGACCAGATAGATGAGTGCGAGGGGCAGCAGAGAGATGGCCGTAAAGATGAGCAAATACCGCCGGATGGCGCGACAACTCGTGGTTTTGCTCACTTTCATTTATACTCAAGGCTAAATGCATAGGAACTGCTGATTTCCGGTTTCCGAAAACGACGCCGACGACGATGGTGTTAAGGTTGCTTTCAAACACAATTTATTGTATTTTCCCGATATATTTCCAAAGCGCTTCCGTTTGTTGTTGCTGTTCATTGTGCCAGCGACTAGTACGATCCGATAATTTTCGCTGCTAGGCCGCTATATAGTATTTGCGTGCAGTTGGCGACAGTTTTTATAAATGTTGTTCATTGCTTTGGGTTCTGGTTCTATTCTTTCTGTTCGTGTTTGTTTGTTTTGCTTTGTTTTGTGTTTTCTTTCGAGCTAAATTTAGTTGCGTGCTAAATTTTTATTTAGTGGCACACACAGACACATACACACATACACACACACTTATTAAGGCACACAAAAATGTCCAACTCGAGCATAATTAATGACATTTTTGCTCGAGTGCTTCTGAGGTTTTTCATGCGCTTTTAACTGAACAAAAACAACAAATGTGCCAGCCAAACACTCAGAAACTCATTTGGTCTCGGCCTGGCAGGTGTGTGGCAGGAGTGTGTGTGTGTATGTGTGTGTGTTACTTTTGAGCTGACGGAATGTGGCAAAGGCCTTCGCAATTGAGTCTGGCCTAAGCTTTGTGCCCTGGCACTGAGCCAAGAGCTGTTCCTGCCCTCCTCCACAAAGCAGCTGAGGGCGCCTTCAGCTCAGTACACACACACTATATAGTAAGCCATGATTTTTCGTATTCGCACAACAATTCAAACAAACATATATACATATATGCACATGTGCGTGTGTGCGTAAGTCAAAGTCCTCTATAGTCAACTTAATGTGAGCAATGCCTTTCATTACAAATATTTTCATACAAGTATTATCTTTGAGCCCATTAGGTAGCCCCAGACACAGTATGGAACGTATATAACCCTGACATACAAATAGTTCAGAATACCAAAATAATTACAAAAGAGCTGTGACTGGAATAGCACTTTATCTCCCTTTCCATTAAACAATATTTCAAAATTAAATTACAAAAATGCATTTAATAGAATAGATATATTCAAAAAGATATGTTGGAAATGAAAAAGGAAAATTACTTTAATTCAAAATTGCATGGCAATGTAAAAATAAAATTAGATTTATTAAGACTAAAAACAGACTTCAAAAGTTAAATATTTTGGAAAAACTATACTCATGGATTATTTAATCAAAGTTAGTTAAATTTAAAAAATGTATATACATTTTTTATATTAATATTAGTCTTTAGAAATAGTCTGTAAAATTGAAAAACAAGAAAAATAAAAAATAAAATTAATAAAAGTATTGGAAAAATTATATACTAATTTAATGAAATGAATAAAAATTGTATCAATTTCCAAAGTGGAAAAGCGTTAGAAAAATAAAACGTATAAATTACGATTAGATTGTAAAAATAGTCTTCAAAAAGAAATAACTAAAGAAAAATGTATTATTATTTCTTTAAAATGTTTTCGATTTATATAAAGAAAATATAATCGACCGACCTCACTGTAGTTACTCACTATAATTAACTGCAACAATACCATCAGTAATTACTCAAATACTGGGATTTGTTACGGACACAGTTATTTGAATCTTTTCATGGCACATTTTATAAATTTAATGTCTGAATAATTTCTAATTAGAAAACGTTCTGAAACACTACCTAATAGAGTATTAGTTGAAATTATTTTCAAACAATTTTTAAATAAAGCAGTTTCAAGCTAATTGAATGCCTCCTGCAGCTAATTTCGTTAGGTTTCTAAAATCTGGCAATATAAATATCGCCAAATGCAAAAAAGGAGCAAATTCATGAAACCGCAATTGTGAGAGATCAGCAATGTATGTTTTGACTAAACGTTGTTCTTGTTGTTCTTGTAATGCGCTTATACGGGACATTTTGAAAATTGTGTCACTGCAGTTTTCCCGATTGTGGCAGCAAAGCCCAATTGCCAACAAACCCCATACCGCCCACTCTTTAGGCATTCCTCAGCCCCCGCTAAACAATTGAGCTTTTGTACTCGTCTTTGTCTGTTTGAATATTTTTGGGGGTGTGTTGTTGTCCGCCTCCACTGCCAAACCCCAAAACCTACGCCAGCTGCAGCGTCGAAGTTACGAACACAATTGCGGCAAGATGTCAGTTATTGATTTTTTTCGACTTCTTTGGAACATTATCGAAGGGGGACCAGCTGAGGAGGGGGGACTGCAATGGTCACGGCAACTGCAGCGCTTCACACGCTCCCCACTTGTCGTTGAGTTGTGAATTCAAATTTGAGTGCCGACAGCATTGTTATTGTTAATGTTGTGGTTGCCTTAATTTGTTTATAAACATTTCGTGCTGTGATATTTATTAAATACATCAATGGGCTGGACTTTGATTGAAGAAATTTTGTTTTCGTCGGAATGAAATTTTTGTTTGAATGCGCAAACAAACAATACACATTTAAGCTACTTTTCATACATGACGTATACGTAATATTTGTTGTTGTTGCTGTTTTGTGCATACAATTAATTGTTTTTACTGTTGTTGTTGTTGTTGTTGTGTGTGCTGCTCAATTGTTTGCCAATTGTGGAGACAATCAATAGAAGTGCACAGTTAAAACAAAATTTTTTTACTCTTCACTTTCGACACTGACACACACACACACACACACACACGTACGAACGCACGGACGTACGAAGAGGTGCTTTTGCACGGACAGACGCACCGTACGGCCCAACGCACAATTCACGAATGAAATCAAATGCGAAATGAGAACGGACTGCGACGACGACTGGCAGCTTGCATGCCGCCACAGACCCCACTAACCCACCCACTGGGTACTCACTCACTCATCCGTCCGTCCATACATATCCATCTCTCTGGTTTACACATTACCGCTCTTTCTCTCTCAGAATTGGTCAGCGGGAATTGGTGTTGCGATTCTTTCTGTCTGTTGTTTATATGCCGCAAACGTTTCTCTCCATCTGTTCTTCCTCTTCTGCCTCTATTCTACCAAATGCAGTTGTTGTTGGAGTTGCTGCTGGGGGTTGGGAAGTTGGACTTTTGATTTGTTTATCAGCGAGAGCGAGCTACCAGCTTTGTTGGCTGGCAAAAAATTTGTTTATGCCTGAGCACGATGGCATGACCGGTAAGAAAGGCGGGAGAGAGAAAAAGAGAGAGTCACTGACTGCGCAGAGAGCAGCGCCAATAGGGTTGCTGTCTATGGCAGTTACTTCACTGGCGTGGGTGGCTCTAGGACTTTTGTGGAATATACTTGTACATATGTATGTTACTTATAAAATGTGCAAAAATTGTCTTCAAAATGTTTTTTAAGGCGTCTTCACAGGCGTGAAGAACACGTTTGGATCGAAACTGAAACAAAACTATAAAGAAATTGCCACCGATAGTCACATACAAACTTTTTAAAAAATTCCAGAGATACACCAATTGTAGGCTCAGTAGAAGCACTAAATAATTAACTAGTTAAGATCACATAGGACTTTCAATGACAAGTCTGGAATTTTCATCTAATACAGAAAAATATAAGTTTAGAAGGTCCCGATGCCGCCATCTCCAGCAGATTGAGAAAGCGAGCTCATCCCATTCTATAAAGAATCTCATGGACCATGGTCTATGGTACAAAAGAACTAATACATTTACCAAAGCGTTGGAGGAATTTTTTCGAACTGCATTAAATTCCCTTACTAGAGTAATTATTATTTTAAAAATTCAGGAACTCCGAGACCCAAATGCCATGTTTGTTTTTCAAAGAATGAACTTTAAAGGGTAGCTAACTTAATCGCAATGTATAAACAACATTTTTTTCATGTTGAAAAATGCTATAAACATTGTAATTTGTTTAAAGTCTGATAATTTCCACATAGCTGGTTTCATTAATTTCAGATAATTGGTAAATTTGGCAATTACTGCTATGTATTATTAGTTGAACTATTAATGTTTGTTTTTCTTTGTTCTAAAAAACAGACCAATTTCGCGTACAGATATTTCATGGACAGAAAGCAATTGTACCATATGTATAATGGTACGAAGCGAGAAAATATGTATTGCAATCCTATATAGCCTTTTTATATTATATAGCTGCCAGGTTGATAAATCATTCTTAGTTGGATAACTTTTTAACTGAATGTTCATCAAAATCAATATCATATAGTTGCCATAGCAACAATCGGTTCATAAGACCAAAAACGGTTATAATTTTGGAATTTATGAGTTGTTTTTTTTTATCAAAAATTTTTTATCAAATGCCATAACTAAGTTTATTTTAGTCGAATGGAAAAAATGAGGATACGGACTATTCAAGAGTGTACCAGCCAGACTCGTTTCAAAATTAAATAGCTTATATTAATTTTTAAAAAATATTATGACTGGAGTTTAAGTGTGTATGAGAATATTTTGTTATTTATTTCCTCAAAGTTAGTTACGACAACCATTACGAATATATTTTGCATTGAAGATCCAGTTTTTGTTTAAAACATTTGTATAATTTGAAGTATTTCTCCTAACTATTGCATATAAAAGTTCACTGTTAAATGCCACGGATGGAAACTCGCTTGCATGCATGCTAATATTGTATTAAGGAATGTACATTGCAGTCCAGTTTCTGGCGACCCTGCAGCTCCTGAAGCTCAATGACGACAACACTCTCGAGTATAACGCCCCCCAGTTTCCGCACCAGTTGAGTGGCTGCGGCTAGAGATCCGCCGGTGGCCAGCAAGTCGTCGACAATAATTACCTTTTGGCCGGGCTTGATGGCCGACCGTTGCATCTCGAAAATGTCCTGCAAAGATAAGTCTCTATATAGTTTCTATATCTATCAGTATTGAAACACTCACGCTGCCATATTCCAGTTTGTATTCCACGCCCACCAGCTCCCCCGCCAGCTTTCCCTTCTTTCGAATGGGCGCACAGCCGATGCCCAGTTCGGTGGCCAGCAGCAGATTTAGGAGGAATCCGCGCGAGTCTAGACCCACAATCAGCTCGACATCTGGATGCTGGGATCGTATATGTTGGACGAGCAGGTCCCGCAAATAGCGACACGCTTTTCCATCCGTTAACGCGCCAAATATGTCGCTGATAAGCGCAATACACCAATATAATGCACAGATAAGACGCTTATATAGCTTCATGTCAAATAAACCTAATAGCTTGTTCATTGAGTTGCCGATAAGCGACCCTTAATGGGCCCTCAACTCACCGGAATATAATGCCCTTTTTCGGAAAGTCGGGATACGTGCTAATGTGCGACTTCACATATTCCAATTGCTCCTCCGCACTGCTCATCTTATCCGGTGGGACTTAACTCAAGTTTGTACTTTGCAGAGATAGGAAAATAATAATTTGTTTATTTATAAATTCAGCTATCAAATTTTAAAATTGGTTATGCCAGCCAGCGCTGCGAAATGCGAGTGTTCGTGGCTGTTGCGCACTGCCAGCTGATGGCCCAGCTGTTAGTCAGTGGTTGCGGTGGTTGCGCCGGCTAAGCTAGAGCTGGCACTTGCTGCGTGAGCGAGTCAGCTGTGGCGCCATTTTTGAAATGTCACAAGTGCCATAAAATGCTTTCCTATAAATACTTATAATGTTATAAATTTTAAAACAAACAAAAATTTAACAATATTTAAGAAAAATCTTGTTTTGTTTTTTGATTAAATCAACCAAAATATATTAGGCAATTTTTTTCACAATTTAAAAAAAAAAAATAAATAAATAAATAATTTAGGGAATTTTACTTTAATTCTGTTTTTAAATATAAGAAAATTAAATTCGAATGCATATTAAATGAATAACTTAAATATTGTAAATTAATAGATAAACAAAGATGGAAAAATTTATTTATGGTATGCGTATGAGATAAGGCAATTTTAGCAGAACTTCTAATTTTTTGTTTTTTGATGTCTTCCTTTGAATTTGATGAACCGGAGGTCATCTCAGTAATTCAATGAGACATGTCCTAGACCATTAATGCAGGGAATGGTTTTGTTTGTCTTTGTTTTCTGGAGGATTCTAAAAATCGGCTTAAGAGGAGTAAGAAGTGAAGTTTCTTTTTGTATAATGCAGCTAGTCTAGTTTGACAATTTCTAGTCAACTAATATACATGTTTGTTCATTAATTTCAATTCAAATACCCATACGAGACGCGATCTTCTGCAATTTTTCTATTTTTGCGCTTCTCTCTGAAACAACATCTTACACAAATAAACATATTTTTCCCACATGCCTTCCAGCATGCAGTTGAGTGGTTTTTGAGGAGCCTTTGTGTTGTCCTGCGTTCCAAGCACGCAGGTAGATAGCCTGCAAAGTCTTGTGAATGAGAAACAAAATGTGGGTTTGGAAAATTATCAAAGAAAAAATTGCGCACGTAACTGTTAAATCGGCCTCAGTTGCATCTCATGGATGTAAACAAAATAATTGCCAAGAAATTTAAGCGATTTTGTCTCATTTATCCATGGCGCGCCAAATATTCCCACACACATGCACAGTTACTCCGCACTCACCTATCACTTACCAGCAGGTGAGTATGGACTCTCTCTCTCTCTCTCTCTCTCTCTCTGTGCGTGTTTCTGCTGCTCGAACTCTTCCAATGCGAAGCGCGACCCAAGCAAAGCAGTACGGTTTCAAGCCTCGATCATTGCGGTTCGTTGCGGTTTTTGAAAGCGGGCGACATAAAACAGTATTTTCGTGGGTAGCCTGCAGTGGCGCCGAAGAAGAAGAGGAAGAAACCATATTTGCCAAAACAAAAAGGCAGCACGTAGAACAATAGAAATAAATATTGTAATAAATAGACGGTCATAAATATTTATTAACAAAACGTGAAATACGAAACCGATGAGCGGCGGCGATCCAAAAACGAGTTTTCAAACACAAGCGAGAATTAAGTAAGGCCAATAAAAAAAGTTGCTTTTTGAAATTAATTTTTAACGGTCTTAACAGTGGCAAAAAGTAAATGTCAGCAACAACGATTTTTGACATTAAAAGTGTGTTGCAGCAACAGAAACTCAAGCCACAAACGAGCCACAAAGTTCATGCAACATCGTTCGTACTCGTTAAAACGTGAATTTGTTTGAAGGAAAAACCTACAACAGCAACATAAACAAAAACACACCAACAACAACAGCAAGAGCAAGTGCAACAATATTGCAAGCTGCAATGCCCATACATTCACACACACATACACACACACACACACACACACACACACACTCTCGCACTGGCAACCCAAATGTTGCTTTTAGCGCGCATGTTGCTGAAGACGTGCGTATTGAAAAGCAAAAAAAAAAAAAAACTGCAACCGCCGCAGCAGCAGCAAAAGCAACAACAACAACAACTAGCAACGTGAAAAACCAGAAAGAGGCACAGTTTTTTTTCCATATATTTTTTAAGGCGAACGAGCTTCTCATTTAACTTTACCGCCTTGCTGCTTGCAGTGCAGAAATTGCAACGTAGTGGCGCCCCAAAGTTCTTAAATGAGGGCTATGTATCAGAATTGATTTGTGGTTAGGTCTTGGCTAATATGCCATTGATGATCAATTTTATTAGAAATCTATTAATATTTAAGTTCATAGAACCAAGGGAGGTGGCCATAAAATATTGCAAATATAGAATGTTAAATGAAATGAGATGCTAATTCAGTGAGTGAATGATTGGTAGATAGGATCCATCAATGGCGAAAAAGGTGTTGCATTTTAGTTATTTACAGTTCTTTAAAATGCAGGCTTGTCAGAATAATTGTCGTTTTGCATGCTTCAGAAGATTGCTTCGAAGATCCGAGATGTTTGTTTAATGTTGCAAAACAATTCCGAATCCCTCTTCAATTGACGAAAGACTAGCAGATATTGCAACAAATATCGAATACGTTCGTAAAGTAAAGCCATTCAACAAACACCATTGCCGGAATTTTCGCAATTTCTTTAAACCTTGTCACACCTTTTTTTAGCATTCTGTGTAACGCTCAAGTGGACTACTGAATATCTTGTAGGCTTAAGAACTAGTGTAATATATTATTTAATGTGGATGAATGATATAAAACTTTGCTCATAGGATCTCATAAGATTCAAGTAAATTTTTTAATTGGAGCACAGTCTGGAATACAAATGCTCACGCTTCAGTTAGGTAATTAGGCGCCCAGCTAGTCCGCTCCTGTGTTCTGAAGGTACCAATGCTGAAGAATCTCGGTGAGTTACTATTATATATAGCACATTGTTGTTGTTGTTGTTGTAGATAGCTAGCTAGTTTGCTGGGACTTGTTGTTGTTTCTGTTTCTGTTTTCGCTGTATTTGGTTTTTTGGAATGCGCGAATGTTTGCGAACATAAAAATCGTGATCTAATAAAAACAACGACAACCGAAGCTGGCAAAGAAGCCAAAGGAGAGGGAGCGGACCTTGCCAGTCAAGAGCTGCGAAGAGAGCGAGTCGAAGTGGAAGGCGAAGTCTCGTTTCTGGGCTTGCTTTGTGCTTTTCGCAAGCAAAACAAACGCTCCCACATTCTCGGAGAATTGTTGGGGGAACTCAAGTTGTAGTTGTAGTGGAATTCAGAGTTGGTGGTGACTGATGTTTGGCTTGAAAGAGTGTGTCAATAGCTGACCAGATGCCTGTCTGCCATATGTTAAAAAAGAAATCGTCAGCTATAAAAAGAAGAAGAAGGGAGACGTAAAACATTTCCGCATAATTCTTAAATGTGGCTTTTATTTTGCTCAAAAGGGGGAACTCGTTTGTTAATGGTTGCTTGCTTGGCCAAAACAGTCGCTAATAAAGTGAGCAACAACAACAACAACAGCAACAACAATAAGCGGGCAACCCCTTTACATGTGTCCCAACTTGTTTATATATTTTTTTTGAGGTTCCACTTAGTTGGTTACCAAAACGAAACAACAGCAGAAAAGTGTAACAAGTAGCCATAAAAAGAAATAACAACAACAATTAGATAGATATGCGGAAAAGACACACTCGCCTGTTCAGCAGCGGGAAAAGTTTTTCTCATTTAAAAATAATTAAGCCGCATTAGCTGAGAAAATGCCAACAAACAGACGCACAGACACACAGCCAGATAGACGGAGAATTTTCATTAAGGCGGAAAATGAATTGCATTGCCGGCCATTGGAAAAGCGCACCTTGGGTGGCAACTTAGCGGGAGGGGGGATGACGCGGAGGGGGAGGGCTTAGTAATTGCCACATGTGAGTGGCAGCTAGTTATGCCTAATGTGAAATTTGTGCTGTTGTTGTTGCTGTTGTTTCTATTTAAAGATAAAGTAGAAAGTCATTAAGTGACGCTCGAGGCCCAAGAAGCAAGACTCAAACGATTTCAATGGTCATTACGACGATCACGGAGAGGAGGCTGATGTTGGTGTGGTTTATGGCGATGATGATGGTGTTGTTTATGGAGATGATGAGGATGATGAGGATGATGGAGATGATGGAGATGAAGATGAGTTGAGATGATGGTGTTGATGAGCAAACGCATTTTGCGCGGCAGTGGCGAGTTTGCAGTTGCCACGCAAATTGTTTGAAAAGAAAGCCAAGTCTGGTGAGGTGCTGCAGCTAAATGCATCCGTATGCTCGCAGCTGGTACTTTAGTATGTGGGAAAAGTTTGCCAATCAACTACTCTTTGGTCAGACAGGCAAATAATTGCCAATTGAAATTTGACAAATCAAAAACAATTGTAAAAACAGTTGTATTATTTATGAACAATTTATTGTTATTACCTTTCTTGCAACAGGATTTTGGAATAATTCATCACTTTTTACAAGTAATTTTATTTATGGATGAAATAATTATGCCACATATAAAATATATGAACATTGAATCCGCACAAGTTGTTCGGAACACTGATTGTTCAGGCAGGACAATAAGCAGCATTTAAATTTGATCAATTTAATTTTTATAAAACCCATGCCTTGTTTAACACAAATTTGAAATGCAAATTTTTGTATGAGAACTGAATGATCAGAGAGGCAAGCACTTAGGTTGCTTTCAAGCTCGAACAAGTTCACATTTAAAGGGAAAAAATATCTTACGAAATACGAATAATATTTAAACACTTTTTCTCAGTTTTACGGAAACTTTTCTATTAAATCAACTCTTTTAGCAAATAGAAATATGCAATGGGGCTTATATAAATGCTAATAAGCAAACTTTCATATCAAACTTTGAGTGAAACCATTAAAGTTGTTTCTCAGTTATTATATAAGTATCTGTACCACCATTATTATTTGATGATCTTCTAAGATCTTCTTTAGTCAAGTCTTATAACTAAGTTTCATTTGGCTTGGGCTTCTTGCATGAGTGAGTGAAACGATTGTAGTTCGAAATCGATAGCTTAGCTACAGTATCAAATATTGGCATTCGTTAGATATAGAGTTACACTTTCCATACCGTATTGTTTGTGAGAGGTTTGGGAAACTATAGATACAAGACTTTAATGCGGATATTGAAGCATACACTACAGCTTTGAACTAACTTTATAAGTGCAATACTGACAATTGCCATATCAGTTGATGAGGAGGCTTTTAGGCTGCTGGGAAGTTATTTAGATTCCTAAAACATAGAGTATTCTCATAATTCTTACATCTCCCATACTTTGGTGGCTTTGTTCCCTAAAACTCTGCTAGCTATACTCTACTTCACAATTTCGCACTGCAATTGTCGAAATGCTTGCAACAGCGATCCAAATGCGATCCAAATTCGCTAATTGTGGCAACTTTTGGGCAAACCCGTATTGCCCAATGCTGGCCACGTTTAAGGTAACAGCTCTGACTTGTTGCCTCCCCCTCGGTCTCTCGAATTACCCAACTGACCTTATTTTTGGGCACACATGCAAGCGTTTTAAAAAGTGCCATTCCAAGCGCTTTTCATGTGCTTTTTCGCTACGCCAGCAGCATTTGTGGGTCTTGCGAGTACTTCTGCTTGCCTTCCCTTTTTCCCCATTTGGTTTTTGTGTTGGGGGCTATTGATGTTAAATTAAGTTTCAGCTTTTATTTGTCTGGCAGAGAAACGCCGCAGCGGATGTACATACCCATATATTCGTATACGTACTTGTATACGTGTATTGTAGGTATCTGTGTACATCTGTAGGTTGGTATGTCTGCTGTCCGCTGTCCGCCGTCTGATGTCCGTACTTGGCGCAGACATCGTTTATGCTGCGTCATAATTCAACTTGAAGTGCGGCCAAGACCGAGGCGGGACTGGGGAGATGGGGGGCTGGGGAGCTGGGACTGGGACTGGCCGGCAGTTACTTTCTTTTGAAAGAAGCTGCGAGGAAGGCGCGAACATGTTTTCAAAAGGCAGCGCCAGCAATGCATGATCGATGCAAGAATTGTCGACAGTCGAGTGAAATTATTGTTCACAACACTCCCCATTTGCAGTCGCAGAGTCAGTCTCAGTCTCAGGCTCAGTCTCCGGTCTCCGGTCTCTGGTCTCAGAGCTCGAACCAGTCTCTGACTGCAATTGCAGTCGCAACATCCAATACCGGCGCTGTGTCCAGTTTTCTGAACTGAAATTACACGCCAGTCGTAGGAAATTATTATTGTCTGCGGTTTGTCTGCGTCGGGGTCTGGCTCTGGCTCTGAGTCTAGCTTCGAGTGTCAGACTTTGGCCAAAACTGTGGGCCCACTGTGATTTCATTTAAACTCCTATGCACACCCATTTCGGCTTTCAGCTTTTCAGCAGCTAATAATAGAGCCTACAGCAGCCTGAATGCACAGTGGCTCGCATCTTGGCTAAGCTTCGAGAAATGTAGTTTCCGGCAGTTGAGGTTACAAAATAATTTGAGCACAGACTGAGATTCAGAATCAAAGATTACGCGTTGGCTGCACTTTACAGGCAGAGCCGACTTCCAACAAAAATATTAGTACATGGATCTCAAATCAATTTCTTGAAGGAAATTTATGTTTAAACATGGGGTTTCTAGAAAAACTCGTGTTAAGCGAATTTGTGTTAAATAACTCATAAACTATATACAAAATATGGGGTTATGTTTCTCTGTTTTCACAATTCCACCAACAAAGTTTTAATGCTTAAATTTTCAAAATGAACAAAAAGTTATTCGTACTGTTCTACATTTCTCATAAACAGTTTCAGCTTATCAAGAAGACAAATATTTGTAAACGTGAACAATGTTAAGGCAGCTTAATATAAATTTCAAGATCCAATAGGCATATCATTTAATGAATTTTCGTGCTAAGCATTCTTCGTTTGTTTGTGGGGGTCTTCTTTCTTGCAAAAGATTGTTTATTGGCTTTTAAGAGATATTGGCTAAGCACCTTATGAGGAACTCTCTTGGAGATAAAATAAAAGTTGAAGGCAATAGGATATTTCGCAGCACTGATTACATCGATGTACTTAGTCCGTTTAAGTTGTATCCGAAATAGTGAGTATAGAGCGCTCGATATCGTTGTAGTAGGATTGTGGTGTTCCCGGAATCTGTTGAACCCAAATTTTGATAAATGTAAGCTAATGACGTTCCACCGATGCAAGCCTCACTTCGTTTCATATTACTTAAATATTGTTGTAATGCCATTCATAAAGATCGCATTGAATCTGTTCCAAGGCAATTTCTTTTGTTTGCCTTTCGTGGTCTTGGGTGGAGTAGACCCTCTGACCCTCTATTACCTTATTCTCACAGGCTGCAATTGTTAGGTCTTCGATCACGTGCTAATCGCCGGATCTCATTAGGTGTTGTTTTTATACAGAAATACATTTCTGGCGAAATCGAGTCTTCTTCTTTAAAAAATTATTGTAATTATATTTACTGAATGCATATCCCGTATGTTTTAATGTTATGTTATGTTTTTTGCTTATGATATTGACAGATATGTGTCAGAAATAAATATCGGAGTAGCAGTATGTTTTGTAAGTGCAAATAATATATATCTTCTTTCTAAAATATTTGTCAACTTCTGCCGTGTAGAACGAGGCTTTCAGCCTATTGCTCGTAAAAGGGGGAAGGGAGTAAATTTATGATCGCACTAGACTGATTTTCCCTTTAAGGAGGGCTAGGTGTATTTCAAATTCTCTAACGAGAAGCAGCTAAATGGTTCGTTTTTGCCAGTAAAAACTAGTAGCATTTAAAATAGCTTTGTAACCACTGTGCCTTGGCGTCTAGCAGTACGAGTAGACCAAGTGTAGGTGAGTCACAAGCGTCTGTGCTGGAGCGTGCAATTTTCTCGCAAGCTTTTCATTGTTATGGGACAGGTATTGATGGAAACAACTGCTTTCGGGCACAAGTGGCCACAACTTTCAATGAGTTGTTACAATACCAAAAAATATTTATATGTTAATGGGTTAGGCGGCGATTCTGGTCGTGCTCGCTCTATTCATTCAACTTATTAGCATTGTGGCGATAATTTGCTTTGCCTTTTGGCTTTTTGCCTTTGCCTCTGCCTCTGCCTCTGCATGGAAACGGGTTTGGAATGCGGTCCACTTCTCTACAAAACTGATGGATATTATTAATGTTTATAGGCGAGCACTTGTGGCAGCTGCCGGCCACAATTCTTTGAAATGCTTAAGCCGAGCTCATTTGGATTGTGATTGTTTCAATTTCTGTTTTTTTGTTTATTCTTCCAACGTTAGGCGAAAAGTGCAGCTCGTTTGGCATTGTTATTGTTGTTGTTGTTGTTGTGAGTGTATTGTTGTCGCTTTTCTCACACTCGTATTTATTTATTTAAATTATAGCCCGTCCTACAGTTGTGGGGGGCTTTCTTTTCCGGAAGGGGGGGGGGCGGGAAACACACACATTACGCATACGCAACGAATGCTGTGAAATAAGCCGAAGACAATGCACAAAACTCAACTCACTTGCATTTTTTATCTCTCCATTAACTCCATTATTTTTTCGGGGCATTAATTACGACTCCAGCGTGCTGCTGTTTCTTTGTGTTTTTTCCACACTTTCAAAACCATTTTCGAAAATGGAAACAAGTTTATTGATAACTCAGCCAAACGAGCGAGCCGGCCAATTGGCTTTGCGACCACTTGGCCATTTGGCTAGTTGGCTATTTGGCTATTCGCAACTCTTTGCCATGAATCACGGCTAAAATTAGATGGACAGCTTTGGGGCTTGGGGCTTGGGGCTCGGACTTGTCTGCTGTCGGTTGTTGTTGTTGTTTTCAATATTTTTTGCATAATGTTTTGCTTTTGCTTTTTCATTTCTCCAGACATCCAGACATGTGTTTCTTTCTCCGACTTTCTGATCGATCGTAGAATTGGCGGTGAAAATTAAGCAACATTGTGGAAATTATCTTCGTGATTTACATAAGCTTTATGATTGCACATGTTTATTAAAAGTGCCTCTTGCTGTTGCTGTTGTTGTTGTTGTTGTTGTTACTGATTGAGGTGAAGGGAAGTAGAGTTGTGTATGATTAAATTGTATTATGATTCGAAAATTAAGCTTTTGATGGCCATGATATGATGACAACCGAAAAAAAACCCCTATAAGTGGATGATAATCGGAATTGTTGATGAAAATCTCAGTGCAACTGTTTTTAATTTTTGTTTCAACAAAATTGTTGTTAAAGGTTGTTGTATTTCTTAAACAGCTGCCACTTTCGAATATGGTTGCTCACATCTAAAAATTGCTACAAGGATTACAAATTGAACGAACTGAAATTTATTAAGCTAGTGTGAGATTTCATATCCTCTTCATGTTCCCAAAGGATCGCAGTACCTTCAAAAAAGATATTCCGCGCCATTAGAAGCAGCTTAAGTTTCTTTTGAATGGGAGTGTTTAGAAGAGTAATGACTTCTGCTGGAATGGGTTTCCTTCTATTGTCTAGCAGTGGATCTGAGGATAATATTATATATATATGGGTGATGAAAGACTTCTTCGTTTTTTTGAAAAGAAATCCAGTTGCATGACGAACGCATTTTCTTTCTCTCTACGAGTATAGGAGGACTGTGTATTTTTTCCTGTCTACCTGCTACATAAATAATTATATAGTAGAACTGAGAAGCCATAAAATGTTCGGCACACGATTGATATATAATCTGTAATAGATTATATGCTCGTGCTGGACTTTTTTTGGCAAAGTACCTTAATTCGACTTGGGTTTTTCTTTTGTGAATCGCGCATCAAATGACTGTTAATTTGCTCAAATAGTTGACCCCATTTGTCAGCTTTTTCTTCGAGTTTATTTGTTTAAATAAATGCGGCATGAAGGCAGATTTGCTAGCCAGCCAATTGTGATTTGAGTCCATAACCGTTTCTTTTCCCCAACTCTGGTGTATAACGAGGTCATCAAACTAAAAGCTGGCCAATTTAATAAGCTTAACTGAAAATGAAGAATACACACAATGCGACTTATTGCTGCTCCACTGCTGTTGGGTGGAGGAAGAGACAAACGCAAGTCATTTACAAACATTACTCGACATCGTTGTTAACTTTAGACGAGTACTTGTATACACGTTTGACTTCGCTTAACTTCTTTCAGCAGTCGCGCATAAACAAAAGGTGAACTGAGTGCCCCCCCGACTGTCCCTCCACACCCGTGCCCCTGGAAAACAAAGCAGCTGGAAAATGGGCACGAAAATCGAGTACGTCGACACAACCCATCTATATGCCTCGAAGTATATACGCAACTCGAAGGCGATAGGCGTCTTGTGGGCCATCTTCACCATTTGCTATGCCATCATCGGCATCGTTGCGTTTGTGACGCCAGGTATGTACGAGTACGAGTATCTAGACAATGTCTATTGTGTGTACTTCTACTTCGAATGCTATCCCCCCTCCAGAGTGGATTGGCGATCCGGATGGGGACAGTGCAGGTCGTCTGGGGCTCTGGCAGCTGTGCCAGCGCGACGAGATCTTTGACAGCTGTCGGCGAAACTGGGAGAGCATAGTTGCGGTGCCGACGTTTTCGTTTCAGGTGAGTCCAAGAGTCGCTTTGTTCTGTGGCAGATCTGCTTATGCCTCTATACCCTGCACCCGAAAGTTTGAAGCGTATACTAGAAAGCGTATATTAGAAAGTTAAAGCATGAGCAGACGAATCGATGGAGAAGTGTCCGTCTGTATGAACCACGATAAGTCGGCCCACACTTGCCTTATCCATAAGCAGAGCAAAATTTAATATACGTCGCATATAGCCACATTATGTTATAAAGCTGTCTTAGATGTGTAGAAGAATCTCTTTTAAGAGTTTTGTGTAATGTCTGTAAAGTTTCATTATTCATTTCATATTTTTAATTTATAATCATGTTCACCATAGGCAGAAGTTTTCTTAAGAATCGGTCAACAATCTAAGTGATATAGTAGCTGTCAAAGCTTATTTACATCAAACGATTGTAGTGGGCTTAGAGTATTCCAGAGTCGGGCTGACACGAGCTCTTCGTTCCACTCGTTTCAACTATTTATTTGTGCTCTTTCAGTTGGCCACATTCTTCATGATCGCCGCCGTCGCCTTGGCCTTGCTGACAATATTCTTCTTGGTCTGTTTGCTGTTCATGAAGTCGACGCGCGTCTTCAGTATCTGCGGTTGGATGCAAATCATATCGGGTAGGTGTCTCGAGCTCTATTCCCCATTCCCGGCACTGCGGAAGTCTGATAGAATTACAGAATCTCTAGCTATTATCGACGGCCGACTTTGGCTCTTTAGCACGTGCCAAGACAATCGAGCAATCTAAGTTTTCGCTTTAGTCACGTACCCTCAAATATTTGAGACTGTTTATTTATTGATTTTTTGTCCGTCACCTGCCTGCACCCGGCAGCTCTTTGCATGATTGTGGCCTGTGCCGCCTTTCCCTTTGGCTGGAATTCGGATGATTTCCGCAAGATTTGCGGACCGGAAGCGAATCGTTTCGAGCTGGGGCTCTGCAGCATACGTTGGGCCTATCCGCTGGCCATTATTGGCTGCATCGACGGCGTTGTTTTGGCCACCTTGGCCTTCATTCTGGCCACGCGACATGTGCGCCTCCAGCCCGATCCAATCTATCAGAATTCGCTCTACAAAGGTGAGTTCGAATGACATTTTAATTTAATTTATATAATACTCTTGAGACTGCGGAATTTAAATAAAACTTTGATAAAGACGAAAAGAAGGCAAAGCTGCAATTAAGTCTAAAAGCCATTATAAACAAGAATTTAAAAGAAGTTTCAATTTTGTAAATAATGGAAAAATTAAATTTGTTCTTAAAAGTATGTAACTAAGAATATAAAATGCGCGACAAATGCTTACAGAAAAATCCATTAAACTAAACTTTAATGTTTAAAAAAGTTTAAGAAAAAAGAAAGTTGTATAAGAATTTTTCTTGTCGCACTACGAAATAATAAATAAATAAAATAGCTAATTATTTCAACTCTCCCCTGCACTTCTCACATCAAACACTTGAGATTCAATTTTCGTCTGCTTTTAAGGCAAATTATGTAAAATAATAATAATTGATAAGCTAAATTTATTTGATACGAAATATTATATGTGTATGCCCGTATATATTTTATTTTATTCAATAAATCGACAAATTTTGCTGGCGATACAGATTACAAGACTATGATTTATATTATATTATAATATTATATATTCAACAAAGATATCTAATAAGTAATACAACAAAAATGATAATTTGATAAAAATAATGTGGAAATCACTTCACAAACTAACATTCTCGTACAGATTCGTACAGTACACCTAATTCTGGTTTTACACGGTCTCTTTTTACACGGTTTGAAAATTAACAATTGCATATACTATGTATATTTCTTTAGAGGTAAGGAACCACTCACCTATTTTTGTCTTTTTTTACACGGCTGTTTCTGGCACCAATCTACCGTGTAAAAACAGAATTAGTTGTATATGTACATATATATGTGTAACATTATTTATTTATTTGTGAGCACTTGTTTATAAGCCTTGCTCATTGCAAATTTGTTTATATCGAGCTTATATAGGTTGTTTTATCTGATTAGTAGAGTAATTAAACATTTCATCATTCTTTATTTAAAAATATATATTATTTTGTAAGATTATTTGATCAGTTTTGTTTGTGTTTTTCCTCTTTGTAGGCGAAATAAACAACGCGTATCTGACGGATGCGATCAGCTTGGCGGGCTCGCGAAAGTCGCAGCCGCACATAACGGGACTGAACCTGCAGCCCATACTGCTGGTGGCGCCACCCAATGAGGACACCATATCACAATTCTCGCGCTATCATTGAGAGTCGGCTGGAATAGGAATCAAGAATTAACACACACACACACGCACGCATGCACACGCACGCACACACACACACACAGACGCGAGCAGCAAACAGTTTCGCTGAATCGCACGCTTAGCGCGTACATCAACCAGCGGCACGAACACATGAACGCGGCGCACAGTGGCACTCCAACTGTACAGAGCTTGCCAAACTGCAACTGGCTGGCGGTTGTTTTCAAAATTCGAAAAAACCGCATTGTCCGCATTGTGTGTGGGTGCATCTGTGTGTGCGTGCGTGTGTGTGTGTGTGTGTGTGTGTGTGTATGTGTGTTTTGGTGTGTGTGAGTGTGTGTGCATGTATTTCGACTGAATGCTAAATTAATTGTTAAGTCTTGACTAATTAAACGCTTGTGTGTGTTGTTGTATAGCTGTGCCTAAATATTTTAGTAGCGTCTGTAAAATATACTATTCTATATATACATTCCCAACAATCCTAAATCAAAATCAAAAATAAAACTAATAATCATGTACAAATATTAAGCGTAAAAACAATTTCATGCGTATTTCATTGAAACCGCAGAGGAGGCAATTATCCCCTCATCATCATCATCATCAGCATCAGCATCTGGAACGGCAATCGATGGGCGGCCACTCTTCTGCTGTGCAGTTGGACAAACAAAAGTCAAATCGTGCCCCCAGAATGGCGCATAAAACCCAATAACAACCAACTTAGCGCCCAATTTGTTTTTGCCGCCGCCGCTGCGTCGCTACTCTCTCGAGGCCCATAACCATTTGGCACATACTTTTCCAATAAAGTATTTACAGGCGCGCAAACTTTTTGCCTGAATTGAAATATTCGGCGCCATGTCAAATAGAAAAATACTTATTGTGGGGTGTGGTGGTGTGGGGGGGGGGGGTAGTTGGTGCGCTACCGGGCTACGTTTTAATATTCTTGTATAATTCATAAGCAATTCCATCAACGCTCACAAATGCGGCCTAAGTGGCCAACAAGCTGTCGCCAAGCAGCGAAGGCGGACGCGCATATCGAAAAATCCACCCCCACAGTACTTTTTATTTACTTCTACGTTCCCGCCCCCTTAAGCGACCACCCGCCCGCTCGCTCGCCCTGAAAGCCGGCCTGCAACATATGGCCAACCAAGGCAGTTTTCCAATTGCGTGCGAGCGTTGTCTACGGCCTCGCCACGTTCGCTGTTGTTTTATATTATTTTGATGCCGCAACCTCAGCCCCCAGCCCCCAACCCGCAACCCCCGGCACCACCCTAATCTGTGTACATGTCGGACTATATAGGCAAAATCACAATGAAGATCTCTTGCGGCACATTGCAGCGATTTTGATGTGCCAATTGTTTTTATTCGATTTTATGGCGAGCCATAAACGAATTTTTAACTTTTCCTGTCCTTCGGCTTTGATAGTCATGCTCTCTCTCTCTCTCTCTCGCTTTCTTCCTGCTATGCCTAAATAATCGTAAATGTATATGTGTGTGTCTGTGTGGGTGCAGAGGCGTTGCAAAGGGGGTCGACATTACTTCACTTACTTATTTGCGTTCGTCTGTATGAACGCAAGTATCTCAAAAAGTATCAGAGCTAGGATAACAAAACTTGGTATGCATATTCCCCTCAACATTGCTTATTTTCGGGTTTTTTCCCCGACTCTGCTCTGCATTCCATTCTTGTATATTTATGTTCTAAATTATTGATATCAAATGCATCGATGCATTCAAAGTCTTTTGGATTAGAAAGAATCATGTATTTGTGTTAAGATTTTTGTTAATTAGTAGTAGTTGATCAACAAATAAGTTAGGCAAAATTTCCTTTCTGATTTGCACATTGATGCCGGCATGTATGCTGAAAAATGTCCTTAATATAGTTTTTGGTGCTATTTGGATTTATTGGATTACGTATTTGGACTATTAGGTTCCGTTTTGTAAGGAATTTGGTAATCATTGTCATATCCTGCGCATATGTTTGGATTTATCCAACTATTTATTATGGTTTTATGGGATCTGGGATATGGAAGACACAGATTTTCTATGCATGGCCTGAACTGAGCTGATCCTCGAATTTTCTCCTCGTAGTCAACAGTTCTTTACTGTGGATCGGAAATGACTGTGGAGACAGAGAGAGAGAGAGAATTCTTTCTTTTCCCTTCGTATTAATGGTTGGACTCAGTTGGACATTACTGTTGATTTAATCTTCTACCTTAGCTAAGGCTTGCGGGCAGTCTAGTAAAAACAGACAACAAAAATAAATCAGAGGATTAATAGGTTGGAAACGTAGTTTGAAAAATACACTCTTAAAAGATCAGTTGAATATATTAGCGACTCCCTTAATACAAACCCATCGATATCACCAAAATCAAAAAGGCGTCTAAAACTGACTTCTATCGCTGGGCCAGCTATTGGGCAGCCCTTTTCCCATGCAGTCCTCTAATCAATATATTCTGTTTAGTATTGAAGGTTCGTTTCTGGAGAGGTGTGAAAAGAGCATCAGTTTGAAAATAGTCGTCCCCCCACTAGGTCTGGACTACGCCCCTGTCCATGATGCTATTGTTGTGTGTGGATGCATGCATTGATGGCTGTTTGGCAACATGTGCTGCCAATACGGCACTATGGCTACATATAGTATATGGGTATATGGGCCGACTTATTAGTTTCGCACTTGGCTTTTTATGCATTTCCGAGTGGCAGTCAAATGTTTGGGGGCTGGAAAGTTTTTGCTTTCATGACGAATTTCTGGCGCCCAATTAGGACGGCCACAAATGGCAGCCATTAGTTGTAGATTGCGCGGATATTATAATGCCACTTACGACTGTATTCCCCGATCTCACACACACACACACACACACACACACACACACACACATAATCGTTTCCACGCACTTGGCTACCTGCTTAGCCTTTAAACAGTTCGCTACATGCTTCGCATGTTTTTTTCTGGGCTGCCAGCGCATAAGGGCTGTGGCTGGGGGTGGAGGAGTGGGTGGGAAATGAATTGCGCCTTTAAGGTTTTCGTTTAAGTGAAATGTCAGCAACAGAAATTGAATCGAAAATTGTAAAATTGGTTTTGTATAAACATTTTTGCCAAATGAAATGAAATGAAAATGCTTTTGTTATAGTCGAAGCGGCTGCCATTTTTTTCCGCTCTCATTTTTATTCCTGCCTCCTTGCTATACACATGTGTGTGTGTGTTGTGGGTGTGTGTGGCAAGCTTACGTTTGAGTTAGTGAGTGAGGAAAAGTGGGTGCCCGTCATATTTCTTGTGCCTGTTTTTTATTTCTTCTGCGAAACAAAAGCATTGCAGCATCCTCGAGCTCCATTCCTCCACCACTATTTATCCTGACTAGCAACGTGTGTACTTGTTCATAATTTATGACACATAAATGTGTGTGAGTGTGTGAGTGTGCGTGTATTGCTGCCACAAAAAAAGTAGGAAAGGAAGAAATGTACTCCAAGCAGTTGTTCAAACGTTAAAAGTGCGTCAATCAAAAGCTTCAACATAACGACTGGCTTGCCATTTTTTCCATAGTTTCGCTTTTTTCTTCATTCCCACAACTTACTACACGACAGCTCCGATATAACAAAGCTAGGCCTTTCTTTAAACAGAGCAGCCCTAGGGCCGTCGTAAATAATGTTTGATTTATAGGGAAGTGTTAAGAAAAACTGGAGCGACGTAGCAGTCCATCAGATCGGTGTTGTAAATAAGCAGGCTAGTAGAGGATGAAACAGATCTTCGTGAGTAAGTTAGTGAGACACATATGCTTCCATTGAACTATAAATTAAATGTGAACTTAGTATGCTAATACGGCAAATATAAAAAGTCCATTATTAATATTATTAGCTCAAAAGCTTAGTTCACAACAATCCCCCTTGCATCTCAAAATGATGAGTGATATATTTATGTATTGTTGACTAAGAACTGTCAATTCAAATACATGGAAACATAAATCAAAGAAATTCCAATATAAAAAGAAAAACACATAAAACAATTACAGTTACAAAAATTCTTGAAATGGAGTAGAGATTTTATTGAATTGAAATATTGTATGTGATAAGTGTTGAGAGCATCTTCCACAGCATCTAACCAATAATTTCAGCTCATCTCTATTTGATTCTGATTCTTCTCATTCTCTGAAATTTGAATAGCTTGCATTGGAATCGAATTTCATTTCATTCTCGGGCTGAAAAACACCATAAACAGTTGAGAGTGCAGCCTTAGTTAGCTTCTGGCATAGATGTATTAATATAATGCTATGTATTAGATATATAATTATTTTGTTTGTCGATGCACATTTCAAAATACTTTCGCAGCTCACTGTATGTTGATATTGGCGTGCGCCTAAGAGTATGCTCTTAAATTTTCAATAACTATTACCCATGATGTTAAAATCTGTGGCATCTGCTGGCCTATTCGCTGCGATAACTACACAGATCGGACAGTGTCGTGCACTTTTATCAGTTTAAATTATAATTTAATTTTAAAAGCTTTCAGAAAATATGTATTCAATAATTTACGCTGTAAATAAAAATATATTTTCGAAATATCCCTGGCTTTAGAATAAATTTGAACTTAACTTTCTGAGCTTCAACACATCGTCTACATGAATGAAGTATTACAATACTTTTGTGGGATCTTACTTATTTTATAGTTAAGTATTCTAAGTAGGCGTTGCGCTTTCTCCCTTTTAAGGGTACAGCTCCTGCTGGTGTACTGGTGATGCTTTGCTGAGCTCTCAGTAGTCCTCGTAGTCCATTCTAAAAATGAGATGTCTTCACACCAAGTGGAAGAGTTGGAAGGCCGATTTGGCTATATCCTTTCTTAGCCTTCACCACAATACTATAAACAAAATAGTTTTGATTTTAAATTTCGTTTATTTTTGTTGCTTTCGAAAACGAATTTTGTACATCCTCTGCCTAAATATAGTAAATGAATTAACAGTTACGTTTGTTTTTTCTTTAGAGACAAAAGAGGGCTAACTAACTTAGGAATAACTAGAAACGAACTCGCATTTTTCACATTGTAAAAATGACTAGTGAATTAGTTTAATGCATTAATTATTTACAAAATATAGTACATAGAGCTAAGAATATAGAACTAGCATCGAAACCATTTGGGCAAATGAAATGTGTGGCGTTTCAAGACTTAAAAGTAATATATGCTTAAATAAGATTTCGCAAGAATGGAATTCAATATTGGAATGAGGGGGAGGGGGGATATACGAGTAATTGGGATTGCGACATTGTTCGCTAGATATGCCACAATTTGTCGATTCTTCGATCTCTTTTGACTAACATGCACACACACTAACACATGCACACACACACACACACAGCGACTCACGCACGGGCACACAGGCAGAGTTTGGGGGAGGCTGGCCTGGCCTGGCCTGGCCTGGCCTGGACTAAGACTATGATTCCATGCTGATCACATTATCCCTGAGGCTGCTGTCTATAATGGGCTGGACATCCTCCCGATCAGCCTCGCCCATGCACGCGCTCATCGCATGCGGCATGGTGCGGAGCAGGGCGTAGTTGTCCCGATGATGGAGCATCAGCTTGTGCTGCTGATGGGCGACGAAGCTGCTGCCACGACGCAGCGAGCGACGCCCCATCTCCAGTATCTCGAGCGTCGGATCGCGAGCAAACATATAGCTCTTGTAGGCACGCACCAGACTGAAGACAATGGCGAAGGCGCCGCCTGCAATCAGCAGGTAGGAGCCGACGGGCACCGCATTCGGGGCTATGACAGTGGCCAGGTAGATCCAACGCTTGATGGCGGGCGTCAGCTCCGAGATGCCCTATTCGAGATACGACAGAGAGTTGTAACAGATTGTAGATAGCTGGGTGGAGATGGGTTGCTGACTTACCTCCTCCAGCCACATAACCGGAAACACAAAGTCGCGGAAGTCACGCACCGGATAGACGTCCTTGGCGCGCGTCACCTTCAGGTTCAGCTGTATGCGCACCTTGCCCTCGAGCGGCACTCCAAGTTTCTAAACAAAAATGAAAATTGAAACGATTAGAGAACAGCTTTACTCGCTGGCTAAGGCTCGCTGAGATTGAACACAGAAATTCATCTTAAATATTTATTAAAACTCGTCCCCTAGCTTCTGCAGATGTGGAAATTGAAACGTTCGAACGAATATCTAGAAATGGCCATCGCTGTCAGTTATCGGAAAATGGCTAGAAACCTCGCTAGAAAATCTGCTATTAATAGCAAGAAAGGCCACTAAGAAAGGCCAGTAAACACTCTATACTTAATTAAAAGCCCCGCTATTAATAGCTAAAAAAACGCTAGATACCTCTTTAGAATATCTGCTATAAATAGCAAGAAAATCTTCTAGAAAAGGCTAGCCACACACCACACATACTGCTGACGATTTCGTGTTTATTTCACAATTAGGATCGTGCAGCCAAGTTTTGGGTTCGTCACTGAAAAGAATGCCGATACAGCATTGAAAGCCCTCACATAAGAAGATTTAATTAAGAAAACGGATAAATCTGAATGATGATTAAAGCTAGTTCAAACCTATCTGGTTATATCTACAATATCCACAATATTGGCTTCTTTAAGACGGAGCGCCAACTTACCGGCTGTATTTTGAAGTACGTTTCATGTTTTTCACGTCGCGGCTCTAAGCCCTCAACCTCGTTCAAGAGTTCCGGATGCGCATCGTAGAAATGGGGGTTGGAGATATAGACCGGCGCACCATACTGGCACGGACTGATGTTTTGCAGTCCTCGTATGGCCTCATAATCGTTCGTATCGTAGCACTTGTTGTCCGGATTGTTTGTCGAGTCGCCGTACGAGTTGTTGGGCAAACGGAACAGATCCGCGTCGATGCCATCCTTTTGCACGCGCTCCACATACTTCAGCGGTATGATGCGACACAGATCCTTGTCGTACACATGCACCATATCCGACTTGGTGATATCGCGTGGCGGAAAGAAGGAGCCCTCCGAGCCGGCTATGCTGGTGCAGGGCGGCTCATTCCAGTGCGGCAAGTGGTCCATGCCGTTGAGGGAGTCGATGTAGCCGAACTGCTCCATGCCGTTGTAGCCCGTCTTGATGGTCGACACCTCGGTCAGAGTGCCGTTGCGCCCCAGCAGGAGACCCATGCGTTCCATGGGGCGCATGTGCTTGGGATAGAAACGATGGGCCAGGCTAACCAGAGCGTCGTCGTACCCAAAGACCAGTTGATCGGCAGTTACGTTGATGAAGGGCTTGAACTTGGCTGCTGTCAGCACCACAGATATGGTCTTCGACAGCAGGTAGCCCAGCTTGGGGCTCAGACTGGTGAGTGTCTGTAAGCAACCAGGCATAAGTTTGAGTTTTTATAAATCTACTAAGACTAAGTTCCTAGTTTAGGTTGTAATTGTATTTTGCCAGAAGTTAAATTTTAGTAAATACTAACGGCTTAATTAAGGAATCCATCGTATAAAGAAGCAGAGATGGATGAGAAGCTTTCTTTCCAATCAAGAGTCATTTTACTTAGAAAATTAAGTTACTAGCTTATGTGCTAATTAGTTCGAGTTATTAAATTAGACATGTCAACTATTTGCTCATAAATGTTGAGAGTTATTTAGAAAAAATTATAATTTCAATAACAAGTAATTACTGCACAAGAAAAACTTTCGTTTCAAATGTAGATGAGATAAAGATCAGTTTTGGAGCTGTGGTCAGACAAACAAATTCTTTGCGCACAAATTTGAAGTACTTCGTACATTTGAAGAAGCTAACTAAAAATTAGATCTAAATCAGATTTGTTGTTGTAAAAACGTTTTTATTTTAATGGTTTATTATTTTTTAACTGAAATTAACTTCACGACATACATGTGTCAGATATAGTTGCCTATCTGACCAGAGCTTAAGTCCACGTTGCTGCCCAAACTGCTTGAGATGAGTAAATGTTTTAAGCTATGCTCAGATGGGCAAATTATTTACATACAAGTATAAACACGTCTGACCAATCAAAAGCAAAGCAGTTTGTTTGCAAACTATTGGCCCGTCTGCCCGTTTTATTGGATCCCTTAATACTTAGATGCTTAGACTTACCAGCAACGGTATGTTGGGCGTGACTATGGGCGTATTCTTATCTATACTCAGTTCAGGAACAAATTGTAGTATCTTCTTATGCTGATATGACACCGTTAGATTATTTTCGTGGAATTTCACATTCACCTTCTCCATGTCTTCTCTGCAAATACACGCGCGCACACACACACACACACACACACACACACCCAAGCGAAAGAAATAAAGAGAAACATTAGTTTTCGTGTCACTTGCGGTTTTATTTTTTTATTATCTTTAGGGTTTCATCAGCACGCGCCGCATTACGACGACATACTGTTTAGTATGTGGTCCAAAGTCAGGGCCAGGGCTAAGCATTCAAGCCGGGCAATCCCAAAAGCGCAATTGAATGTCAAGTTCATTCGGTTGTCGCTGCCTCTGCCTCTGCCGCTACCGCTACTAACTTGGCCCATTAAGATCACAATAAACCATAATGAAATGCACAAAAAGTTCACAAGAGAGTCATTGCGGCGTTTTTGGCGCGTTTTGGGCGCGTCTTTCGACGCTACAGCGATTTGCATTGTCATTTCAACGACCGCAGTTTTTGTTCCACAATATGGCTCTGAGAGTGCGCCGCTTACTCAGCAGTTTTTTCAGTTGGCAGCCGTTTTTGTTAGTTGGATTTGCAAAGCTTATTGAAACTAATACACTTTTTTAAACACTTGGCAATTTGTTTAATAAATAAATGGTTGTTTTCTTCACACGCTTTTGTTAGCTAGAGTTGTTAGGAATCTGAATGGCCTCTCTGATGTGAAGGGTCTAGTTAGGCCTAGTTAATCTCTAGAGCTCTTTGAAGTGGTTTTTAGTTTTTGTAGACTTCCAGATTCTACTTGTCCCTAACCAGCATCTCTAAGTACTCTATCTATGCTTAATTTTTCATTTGTTCATTTCAGAGTGCGACTCCAAACTTCTACGCACAATCTAACCATAGTTAGTCGTCTCCATTGAGTTGTCAAGTCGGAATTAGCGGCAATTAGCGGGTCATCATCAGCTATCGGTAGTTTGCTGATTGATCAGTCGTCGCCTTTCAATCAAGTCGTTGGCTGCACTGCTTTGAAAAGTGGGCGTGGTCAGTGCCCTGTTTGCCAACGCATTTATAACTACTTGGCTTAGTGGCAAGTAATTGCGGCACACTTCTCCTACTTGCTGGCTTGCGATGTTGTAACACTCAATGCTTCTATACGAACATACTTGTGCATGTATTATACATATATACTAAGTAAGTAGTATTTGTTTGGGGCATCAATTAACAAGAAGTGGAAGTATTGGAAAAAAAGACTGCACAGAGGTACGCGTGTTGGCTGCAATTTCAACTTTAATTGCCCGCCTAATTGCAGCGTTGGACATGAGGTGTTAAATTAAAATTAAAAATTAGTAAATTGCAAGCGTATATCTTGAATATAGTATCTTGAATATAGCTTCGATTCATTGTACATCAATCATCGTTAAACTGAAGCTTTTCAGCAATTTATGTAAACCATAGCGCTACTAAATCGAGCTACTTTGTGATGTTCTATGCCGAAGTTTATATTCTGTTTTCTTGCTGACCTCACACTAGCACCTATTTAATCAAAATTCATGATGCAAGCAATTCCAAACACGTATATATTTACTACACACATACTATATGTTCAAAAGGCGTGACAGCTGTGCTTTCAGTTTTAATTGAACTATAATTTGCCGAAGTAGAATTAATTGATTGCTTACCTGTAGACAAAAGGTCCCACCTCCTGCAGCTTGGGCTTCTCGCCGCTGAGAAAACCATCTGGATTCGTCACATTGTATATGTATACCTTGGTTAAGCGTATAACTCCAGGCCTTTGCCAATAATGATAGCTTAATGTATCATTCCACAGCCTTAAATTCTGCAAAACACAATTCCAATTTTAAGTTTAAGTTTACAAAATATACCAAAATGTTAACAAGCTAATTATCTTTAGACAACCTTACGTAAGTACGTAATCATTAGTCATTATCTAAAATATAAATTAAAAATGTTTTTGTGATCTTATTAAGCCTTTCTTTTTTATTATCGTTTCAAAATTTGGAAAATCTATTCTATGGATCAGTAACTTAATCAAGGCGTGTTTCGGGAACAGTTGACATTGTTATTTATTTATTTCTGACAAATATCTGCCAATCTCATATTTGCTTGCTAGTAGTTTTCAGATATTTTGGAAAACCAACTGCCCACATGGGCTTTCAGAAGACTTTGTGAGCAGCCGAAAAATTAAATTCACAAGTGCATTATGTATTATAGCATTATCCCAATTACTTCTTTTGATTTCCATACATCAACCTTTCATGACACCCTGAAGAAAGCGTTGAAGCCTTCGTTTTAGAAGCACTGATAAAGTGGGTCGATCGACTGCTATCGATCTTCAGGGAGAATATTTCTATATTCATATTTTTTTAATCTAGCCGATCGAATAAGTTAGAAAGAGTCTTCACTTACCTTTAGTATAAAATAGTCCAGCCATGGTATTGATGATAAAACTATGCCTAAAATTAATGTAACTATACCAATAATTATCACAGCTAGTCTATCTGGAAGCAAACAAAGGGAAAACAAACAATTAAATTGAAGAATATATACATACATATATTTATATGACAATTAATCTCACATATAAAAAACATAGGCAATTAATTTTAAACGTCAAATTCATTATTTATTGCGACTGATAAGAATATGACACACATCCCGAGTTGAAGGTTGCTTTTTCTATATGTACAAGTATGTGTGAGCTAAATTATATTATCATTAGAAGGTAATTCAATAGATTTTTAAAAATTACGCTAAGCTGATAAGAGTGAGAAAAAAATAATAGGAACTAGAGAAATATTGGCCAAGCCTAAGATTAATGAAGATGTAATAGGAATTTTAAGAAATAATAGAAATTGAAGAGAAATACTGGACGAGTCTATTTTCTTGACTTTAAATGTAACACTTGGCAACACTTTCTTTCACATTTTTTAACACTATTTTGATATATTTGGTTACAGTACGTAACTCCCGCCCGAAAAGAGAGTTTGCTTAAAATCCGTTAAGACAATTGAATGACGGTCAACAAGTACGAGTATATGCATGCCTTTTTTTTAGGTTCGTCAATATTTCGAAGAAAATTAGCAGCGAACGGTTATTTATACACTTCTAAGTAGATACCTCTCTAAAATTAACAGACTGTGGAGAATTCGTGCCCGCTTATTATTTATTTTCAGCAAACAACTAGAAAACTTCCAATGATGTAAATCAGAGTCCAGATGAGACAGATGTTCAAATAGTTTAGCAATAAAAATCCCAAGATGTCAGCTGAGTTGTCATTCTACAAACAAGGCCTATAGTCTTTAGAAGCACTACATACTCATATAGTATACTGTACGAGTACCTAAGACAATCGAAGAAGACGTCAGCCGATATTTAAACATGCAAATATTTCCACAAGTCATTGTTTAGGCATTTCGACGCGCCCATTCCCTTAACAATTCACACCTCACAGCTTTACGATACGATTTATGCATAAAATTGTTTTATTTTATTTTTTTTGCAACGGTTGGGAAATTCAACGGATGTCATCCAAAATTTTTAACTCAACCAGGAGGCGCTGCTGAGATATTTTTTCTGTTTTTTTTTCTTTCGGAGAATTGACAATTGTTTAATTAACGCAGGCACTTGGAGAATTCGCACCTGGTTTGCATTTCGCTGCCGATGGGGCGGTGGTGGGCGTGGCCAGCAATATAATAGTGGCCGTGGGCGTATGGCATGTAATGATGTTGGCCCAGAAGCCATTGGCATACAAAGCCAACGAGTTTGGCGACACATTGGACCAGAGCATGGCTATTATAACTGCTGATCTATGTTATGTTTCGAGACACACTTCTCACATACACACACACACACGCACACACACACACGATTCGTCAACGAACTGATGGACAGAACAAATTGGCTGCGACTGTTGCGTCTTCAGGCTGTTTAGCCACAAAACTGCAGAATGCAGACAGAAGCAAGCACAGGGGCGGTTCTGAGGGGTCATTGTGTGAGGGGCCGCCTTCAAGATGGGGGCGTTTAAATGAAATCAAGCACAAATCATGAGTAGTAGAGCTGGTTGGAGAAGTTAAAACAGAAAAGCTCACAGCTTAACATTTGATTTTTTGATAAAAGGAACATGTGAGCTTAATCCAATAATGGACTGTGCATTTGTAAAACAAATTCGTTTAAGCTAGATTTTATTGCTCTAAAACTATACATCTGAAATATCTGTACAATTGCAGTTTTCCGCGAACTTTAACAAAATGCTCATCTCAACAACAGAAAACTTACACATGTGGTTCCTTGCTTCAGACTTGTACAAGTTTTGAAATCAATCAGAAAGGTGCGCAAAATAAATTTATAATCAATAAATTAAATTTAAACTGAAAGGAAAGGGACATGTTATGGATGGCTCTTATTGATTAACTTAATATTAAAAGTAGGAGACAGCGGCCGTACTAGAAGGTCTGTTCCCTTTATTGCTCTACACCTATATACATGTATATAGTTCGTCTGGCTCTGAAATATCTGTACAATTGCAGTTTTCCACGAACTCTAACAAAATGCTCATCTCAACAACAGAAAACTTACACATTTGGTTCCTTGCTTCAGACTTGTACAAGTTTTGAAATCAATCAGAAAGGTGCGCAAAATAAATTTATAGTCAATAAATTAAATTTAAACTGAAAGGAAAGGGACATGTTATGGATGACTCTTATTGATTAACTTAATATTAAAAGTAGGAGACAGCGGCCGTCCCTTTTGTGGTCAGAACCGGCTCTGCATGAGCACACCACGCGGTCGCGAAAGCAGTCGAAAAAGTGCAAGGTCCAGCATAAAAAATATTTAAATTTAATTTGTTTGCATTACTTTTATTGTTGCTGTTTGTTGTTGTGCCAGTTGCAGTTGCAGTTGCTGGCCGAAGCAGCCCAGTCAGCGCTTTTGCCTTCGTTCGACCCGTAAAATCGATAAGAGCGAGTATATATAGCGAGTTGATATAATTGCGCATATTCTCGAGTCGTCGCTGCGATCCCGTCATGGCACATAAATCAACTTTTCAAAATGCATTTAAACAAGCAAAAATTAAGCGAAAATTAAAATCTGGCGTTAATTGTCAAAACATTTCGATCTGATCCACTGTCGATCCCAAGAAAGCCACAGCTGACCCTGAAGGTGGCAGTCGCAGTCGCAGCCAAGTCGAAGTTACCTTTAAAATGTTCGGGTCATAAAACTGGTGCTGTCGCTGTCGCTGGTGCTGGTGCTGGTGCAGAGAAAGTTGCGCAAGCATATGCTATGTATATAAAAAAATATATATATATACATATGAGTATTAAAACCACATGACGCACATAATATCAACATTTTATTTTGGGGGCACAGTCGTCAAGGTCAAGGGAATACACACTACTCGCGTATACGAGTAGTACGCACTCGGATACGCGGATACAGACCCAAATTCGCGAACTTGCCGCAACAGACCACAAAAGCGTGCCATTCATGCCGATTCGACTCGACTCGATTCGATCCGATTCGATTTCTGTTGCTGTTGCTGTTGCCAGCCAAAGGGTGAGCAGCGAGCAGCGAGCAGGGAGCAGTTAGCATTGCGTTAATATGGCTAATTATATTTAAGTTAGTACGAGTATATGCCAACAAAGGCATTAGGTTGCGTTTCGTGTGCCGCACAACTGACAGTTGCAATTGCAGCTCAGTCGCTGAGTCCTCTGCTCACCAGCTGCCCCGACATGGTCGCTAAGCATTTGGCACACTATTGATTTGCCACCGAGTGGTGCATTGCCAGTGCCAGTGCCAGTTGACAATAGTACCATTAATGTGGCTCTAGTAGCTGGCAGATAGTTTTTCCTATCTATACAATTTGTTGCATACAAAGCCGTAATAGCTTTGAAGATTTGGAGCCAACAGTTGGAGTTTAGGCTCAGATGGCAGCGCATTGGTTGAGATAAGATTTGTAGTTGCAAGTTGCAAGTTGTGCAAAATGTAGAAAAGCTGAATAGACAGGGGAGGTTTCTCTTCTGTCACTGAAGTGTATAAGTTTTATAGTCTAAGCTGCTCCTACTTATTATCATTTTCGGCATCACAAATGCACATCAAAAATGCTAAAGCCAGCCTCTTTAAAAACTGTAGAATCCAACATTCTAGTTGAAATGAGAGATGATGGCATTTGAATTTTCCCCCACCTCTTTTTCTCTTTCTCACTCTCTTTCTTTCCACCTTTCTCTTTCCCTGTTTCTCTATCTCTCTTTGTATCTTTCTTTTCCTCTTTCTCTTTCTACTCCTTACTTGTTCGAATTAGTTCTCAAATAGAATTAATTTTCCTCCTCTACTTACTTCTTGTACAGTTTTGTATAGTTTTTTAGGTCTACAATGTCTCTGACCACATATGGCTGTGAATCGGGGCATAGCTGGCCAACTGGCAAATAAAATTCCCCCAACGTGTCGGAGGCATGAATAGACGTTATTGTACAGCTTTGTGTTAGGCTTTCTTATCTTTTAACTTGAGTTTAAATTTAAATTTATATTAAGTTATATCATCATTTTATTTTTTATGTTAATATATATAAGATGTTAAAATATATTTCAATTATTATAATCGACAGAATTATTGTTGATGTACTAAATAAAAAATTAAAATATCTACTGCTGGCCCATTCTTGTTGCCATTTATTTATGAACAAACTATCTAGCATCTATCGCTCCCTTTAATCAATTAATTTTGGTAAAATAAAATAAACTTTTCATTACGCCTTCTGCCCCGTTAATACAAAACTCATTGAACCCATATGCGAAAGCCTCACCTTCTGTCTCGTAATTATAAACAGCCCGGAACGTGATCGTCCAATTGAAGCAAGAAAGAAATATATACAAGTATATCGGATTGTTCGCCCCACATGTAAAGGCGATCTGGCCCGCTATGTGCTGTTTTTGTTTGCTCAACATATTAACTACACGGCTTAAGTTTGTTTTCCACCAGCTTGGCTTGCATTTTCCGCCAACTAGTACCACAGACACAGACACAGGCGCAGATATAGACACGATTTGCTCAGTTACGGGCACTCGAATTGTTGTAACTCGTAAGTGTCAAGTCATTTAAAATTGTGAACTTTAAGTGGCTGGTTGGTTGAGTTGCTTATGTTAATGCTCCCCACATGTTATGGTTGCTTAGTCGGCTCTTTTAGCCAATTTTACTTTGGCTTCAAGCGGCCCCCTCACTGTCCCACACTCGCTTATGGCTAAATGCCATTATTATTCCCACCTTGTTAGAGTTACAGCTGAAAGTGTTTTTTTATAGGCCCCTTCAGGTGATACCTATAGCTTTGTATGTATACACGAGTGTACTTAGTGTATACAAACAGTTGCGCACAGCGCCACTCAGCTGAATAGTTTCAAGATTTTGCCAAGGAATTGCTGTGTAGCTCGGGAATGTCTATATATTCGTCCGATATGAAGGTAACCATCTTTATAAATAAATAGAAAGAAATGTTCTAACTAATGTCCT